CAGAGCAGTAGATTAGAAAGGTAAAAGTGATTTCATTTGTACTGGGTGTCTTTTGTAGCTGACCTGCCCCCAGGGTAGGGCTTTACAAAAACTGAAAAGACAATGGGTCTCATTTAATAATTGCGTGGATTATTTCATATTTGTATGCACAGGAGAACTTCTCACGAAAAAGCTCTTCCTAATTCACAACATGTTCGTACAAAATCACTAGTACGCACAATTCACGCACAAAATCAGTGCATACACATGCTTAATGAGACCTAGTGTCCAAATGCAATGATAGATAGATAGATAGATAGATAGATAGATAGATAGATAGATAGATAGATAGATAGATAGATAGATAGATGATAGATAGATAGATAGATAGATAGATAGATAGATAGATAGATAGATAGATAGATAGATAGATAGATAGATAGATAGATAGATAGATAGATAGAACCCCCCAAAAAATGATGCTATCTCGGTAAGAAATTAGAACACTTTCCTGTTAATAGACATCTCTATGATGGGATGCAGTAGTCAGATTATGTAAATCATGCACAAAAACGCTTGGCTCCCTTGAACACTTCAAAGTAGCAGGGTTAGAGAGGGAATTAGTTTGCTTGCTAATCTCAGCTGAAGGAATGGAAGTTTCACTTTGCTAATACACCCACATTTAATGGGAGGGAGAGAGAGAGAAAAAGACATCAAAGTGGAGCAATATTAATTTTTTTTTCAGGGACCTTCCCTTTGATTTGTGAATGAGTTTCCACACGGGCAACACTTCTTATTCTATAACATTTATGCTGTTACTGTTAAATCTAGAAAAATATTAATTTATATACCGCATTTGATGAAGGATTTTAGTCTCAACTAACCTAATTATTAATCTTACAAATTACTTGTGAAAAGGTCTGGAGTGAGAGCCAAACTGATTTTCCCACTGTGTTCTAAATATTCATTCTACAAATGGAACCAGCGTTTACAAAGTATGTGTGTCCTAGAGGGCCATTTCATTTTCTTCTGTGCAATTTTTAATGAGCCCCTAACTGAAATTATATGAAGACCCTAACTGAAATTTAGCGAATCACATTTGCTGGAATAATAAAAAAATACAGACCTTTTAGAAGTCGTTTCAATGTTGCTGAGCGTAGTTTTTAAGTCTCCAGTAGTGTGATTGACACATGACATTTTATTCTATGAAGAACGTTTTCTGTACAGGTTTGAGGCAGTCCACTAGATAATCATGTGTCCAGTTTTAATGAGTTTGTCCCTTGAATTCTACTTCTCTAAATGAGTTCTATGGCAAGGAGAGGATATGGCACCTCAATGAGTCATTTCTGTATTATGAAAGTCCAATCTGACTGTGCTTCGAAAATTAATATTGAAATTACATTTTAAAATTACATAACATAGACAAGATGGATGCAACCCCATGCAAAATCCAAATGTAGAAATTTCAGCATTACACGATATGACCCAATTGAATTGTCTTTGCTTCCATAACAAAGACCGTTTGAAAAACATCCAAAATACTGTACACATGTAAGCCTTAATTTTATTGCACTTTATACACATATTTGCATCTAGATTTAAGTTTCAAAGCATATCTTTAAAAGGTTAGTTAGCCCAAAAACAAACAAAACAAACAAAAATATAAAAAAATATGATATACAGTAGGCTATATTAATATAAAAATTATATAGTGAAAACTGAAAACTGTCATCAATTAGGCCTACTCACCTTCATGTCGTACCAAAACCGGTAGGCCTTCCATTCATCTTCAATCTAAAATAAAGATATTTTATGAAAATATAAATATACATTACATAAATAACTATATACAGTAACATAACAGTAAATAGAAAACAATAATGAACAAATATTACTTCAGTCATAGTTCAAAATGATCTCATCGGTAAAAGCTGTGAGAGAAATACTGTATAAGTAGGCTAGCCTATACATCAAGGAAAAATGTAAAAGGGCTCAACAACGAGCCTTGAGGAACTCCTGTAGTAGTAACACGAACAGCAAAAGATGCTTGAAAGTCGCAATCAAAGCTTGAGCAAGAAGAAACTTGGCAGGAGTAGGCTACATGAAATATAGTTTGAAGATTTCTCGACAGTCTTAAGCAAGTCTTTTCCCCTCACAGACGCGCGCCGCACTGCCGTTGTTTCGGATGCAAGACAGCAAACTGACATTGAATCAACGTGGAAACAACGTCTCTCATGACATTGAAACAACGTTGATTTGCTTATCGAATTAACGTTGAACCAACGTCAGACGCGGCATTCTTCAAAGCTAAATGAAATCGAAAATTGGTTTGCTTTCATAACGTTGAAACAACGCGTTGATTTCAAGTTGATTTTCCGTTAGTTTTGAAAGAATGACGCATCTGACGTTGGTTCAACGTTAATTCGATGAGCAAAACAATGTCAGATCAACGTTGTTTCGATGTCATATTTCCACGTTGATTCAATGTCAGTTTGCTATCTGGGAAACGCTCGCAGCAGCTGTTCTAACCGCGGCTAGCTTTCTTTACGCTACAAGAAAGCTACGCCACCCCGTCTGCGAAATGAGGAAATAGTGTGTTAGTCCTGCCGAGGCCGGACTACCACCCTTTTTACAATTTTTTTTATTCAAAAATGTTTTCTCAAACATTTCTCAGCTCCTCATTAGTTCGAGCGGCTGGCCTGGTAATGTCAATACTGCACACACACGCCTGCAAACAAGCGCCGACACACAAAACTGACGCTCTCTTAACTTCTTGCGCTAACTAAAGCTTTTGTCTTTTACACAAACCTTTCGCGCCAGAGACCCGTGTTCGATTCCCGGAATCCCGGCTGCAGCTCTCCTCTCTGAGCTCGAGGCCAGCTTTCTTACGTAGCCTAAGCCTATCCACAAGTTTACTACGCCCCATGAGGCCTTGCGTCAAAAGTGGGCGCGACTTCCGGTTGGAAGTAAACACAGCGCGATTTGACATGCTTGACACTCGTTCATTCAACAGTTGACAGTCATTCAAGTTATAGCGATCCAAACTAGCTAACGATGTGGGAACACAACCTCAACGAAATTCAAAAGGGTGAAATAACAGTACCGTTACCCTCCGCAGTAGTTGATTGGGAGTATTATAATAACATTATTAATAATCAATACTCATCAAGGCATGGTGACAGACAGTTGTGCGAGCTGACAAACAATTAAAATAAAAAATACACACTTAGTCATTGTGCTTTGGAGTTTATTCAAAATTATAAATGAATGTGCTGCTTGAATACATTAACTGGCACATTTGGTATTCTGTCAACACAGGCTTGATTCTGAGTTTAGCTGTAACATCAGTAGCGAACAGCCAATCGCATGCTGATAGTTTATAGAATATTAAGAATTTAAACAAATGTACACAGGAACACAGGCGTCGTCTTTTGGGAGGTGATAGAAAACTACAGTAGTTGGCAGGATCAGAGACGGGCTCTGAGTCTGGCAGGATCCCTCTGATTTCGTTTTCAGCTTATGTTCAAAACAATCACGTTTAAGCCACTGAATTAGTTTAATCCGGTTATACATACAACCGCGAACAGCACATGTTGTCCATGAACTCCGTAACACCATCTCTCATAAAGATTTGCGTCTTTAAATAGTAAAATAATTCTCCGAAAAACAGCTAGCCTCTTCGCTAACTACCACACAAAATACCATTGGAATACTTCCGCCGCCTCACCGGAAGTTTTACCCACTTTATTTTTTACAGGAGCGCCCCTCGGAAACTTGTGGATACAGAAAGCGAACCTCGAGCCAAGGTTACGTTAGGTAGCCTACGCGATACGGTTGCGTTTCCAAAAAACATTGTTAGCCAACTATGGACGCAAGTTACGTTGAGTTGTATTGGTAACGACCTTGAGACAGCTAGCTATAGGAAACTCACCCAACAATCCAATAAATTCCTGATGGACAAACCTGGTCCTAAATCTTTTTCATGTTTGAGAAACATTTCACTTGGATATAATACAATAGGAAGAAAATACTTCCGTTTCATGCAGACTCCAACAACAGAAAAAAAGAACGACTCATATGATCAATGATTGATCATATGAGTCGTTCTTTTTTTCTGTTGTTGGCAATGAATATTTTATTATTTATGACTTAAAAACAGATATGAAGAGACGTGGGAACAGTGAAAATGAGCAATAGACAGTCATGACACATCAGAACAACTTTGTAATTGTGTGTTGCATAAAAATATGTTTTCTGAGAACTTTGAACTGTAACCCGTTCATCATTGTTTTGACATTTGACAAGTGCCACAGGAAAAAAGCTCTGGAGTCAGGAGTCAAAACTACAATATATGACAAAACCATTCTGTTACATCATTTTGTTGTCATAATTACAGCATGACTGACAGGATGGAGGTCTCTTTTCATTTGTGGCTTTTTGTGTGTGAACAAAAATTCTCCACATGATCAGATACCACAAGGGTATTTGATGTCCTATACATCTGGAAGACATATTTTAAAGAGTGTTTGCTCATCTGCAAGATGTCTATTAGACGTTTCCTGTCAGATGTTAAATAGACGTTTATAAGATGTCAGTTTAACATGCATTCTAAATCATTACATCTTAGAGAGAGACATCTTCTAAACATCTATTTGACATCTGCAGGAAACGTTATAGACGTCTTAGATGAGCAAACACTCTATAAAATACGTCTTCCAAGTTCATCATCCAACATGTAACAAGCAAATAGTGGCGATGATGCATTTCAATTCCACCCTGGTGTTTTTAAAAAATCCCATCCGTGACATTTGCAGAAAATCCTTGTGTCTTTCTTTTGTTTTTTATGAATTGTCATTTAAATGTCCTCATTTGCATCAGACTGTCCTTAGCATCAGATTTGAAGGGGACTTTCCATTGAAAGCAAGGTCAGTTGGTCAGTGCTCTCATTGTCACGACTCCAGGCACTTCAACCTTCAACACGGTTTATCAGGAAGCCGTTGGCTCCATTTTTCTTCATTTTCTTCCCTTCTTTTATGTCGGGCAGTATGTGGGAGATCCAGTCGCCATGGTTTCCCCCATCTGAAATCAAAACACTAAAAACACATGACCATTAGCAGACACAGAAAGCTTAAAAGCCTGTAGCATAATTGTCATAATTTTCCTCATTAGTAAAGTCAGAAACTAAGTGTCTGTGTAACCACATGTGTGTGCACCAGAAAAGTTTTAAACCAGTATATATCTTTTTCCTAACCTGAATTTGTTTCAGTCCTTAATAAACCCCAAAGCAACTACAGTGAGAATAATTTCAAATCTCTCTAATGTTCCCTTCTATCTCCAGGGGGAATGTTTTTGTATTTGGTCCCTCCATAATGGCCTTGTGTGTTGCATTAGATGACGCACATTAGAAAAAGGCTAATAATGCCTTGACCCATTTTCACCCTTTTTAGCAACTTAAGTTTGCTTGATCTCATACAGTAAAATTGCCCATAAGCTGCGCTCTGCCTTCTATCTAAAGGATGTGGTTTTACTCTCATTTCACTGAGCAATGTGAGAATAATCTGTTTCAATAACTTTTGATTTAAATAAAACAATATAGCTTAATTACGGAACATATTATTGTAATGCCTCCCTTAATTTAAGATGACACATCTGAGGGGTTCAACAGAATTCGACTGGTACTGATAATAAAACCACTTCATCAAACAAATAATCTTCTATTTCATTTTATTCCCAAGTGCACAACAAATATTCAACCGAGCAGTCTTTGAGCATCATGAAATTCAATAAAACTTAAAATTATCCTGATGAATCAGAGTTAGATGACTAAGCCAATGATGAAGATGAGATGATTGAGATTCAAACAGTTATTTGAGAGTGATGCAATGTTATATTCCTGTAATACAAATGAGTGAGAAATGGAGAAGCATCCTTGTGAATCTGTAGCAAAACCCACAAATTGGAATTGGAAAAACATGCAGCATGGACCAACAAAGGTATCTGTCCTACAAGTCCTTCGTTTGAGCGTAAAATTAAACAGTTCTCAAATAGGACTTATGAGAAAAGTCATGAGTTCAACCGCGGCGTTTCACTTGACCAAAACAAAAGTCACTTGCTGTGATTAGGGTTATGTCCTGCAATCATTTATCTCTAGCGCCCTCAAGCGCATGCTAGTGGTAACACATGTTGCCCTCTATGCATCATCCTCAAGAAAACAATGAAAAACAATATTCAAAACTAAGTAACGTTTTATACTGTTACATTATTGTATTCATGTAATTTGAATTCCCACAATACAAAAAAGGTTGACACAATATTAATTTCAGTAACTTATTTATCCTTATAATCAAACAATATACAATAAATGATACATTTATACAATAAGCCATGTGTGGTTAAGGCTATATGAAGGACTTAAAATAAAAGAACAAGTTTAATGGCAGCATGAATATGATCTCCATATCATTTAGAATAGAAAAGACAGATTTGTGCGAGAGACCTCAGTGGCAGACTAAAATGACTCTGGTACAAATTCAGGCCAGCCGTTTTCCAAGACAAAATCTATTCTCCTATTTTTAAATCATTAATCTCTAAAGCCCCTCTTCTATGCCTCAGTGTTGTTTAAATGAATAATTGGAACTGAGGCTGTTAAAACTTTGGCATACTTCTGTTCTGTTGTTTGCAGAGAATGGTAGTATTATATTTTGTACGTGTGTTTGTTGATAGGGTGTTTGCATGTGTAGCTATTTTGAAGGATCAAAGTGAATGATTATAAATATAAATTTAGAACATAGAGAAGATTGTTATAATATTTTTTTTTCTTTTCTTTGTAAATGTCTTGCTTATTTGACAAGTAATTTCTTCTGGATAACTTCTGTATTTTTAGTTTTTAACATTTGTTTGTTATAACCAGAAGCATTAAAACTTGTGTGCACAGATACTAACATTTTATACATGCACAACAATACATTTTCGATATGATTTTGTCAGAACTGGACTTGTGGGAGGATAACCTTTGGTTCTGGTTTTGACCAAGAATACATGGTCACCATGATTGTCCTTGTAGATACAGGTACTGTATGTTGAAGTAAAATTACATTAAATAAATTAAAATATATTTTAGCTTTATATTAAATCATATATACTGATATATTATATTATATCTGTTTATAAATATTATCATTAAAAAGTTTTTTTTTTTTTTTTTTTTTTTAAAACTTAAATGCTTAAAATTACAAAACAAAAGTAGAATTAATGATGATCATTTTGAACTTTTTGCTGCTTAAAAATAATCGTAGTGGACGTAAGGTACGAAACAGAATGCGCGACATGAACCTCTTTCCGCTAGATGGCGACAATACAGGATGGACTTTAAAAAACACATCAGGAGTACAGAAGAACATATCCCGGAAATATTACCCTTTTGTATCTCCAGATGAATAAACCAAAGCCCTGTGAATAAACTTATGGATGACTGAGAGATATTTTGTTTGTATTATTACTTTGTTTTGGAAGTGAACAATCATTCAGCATGGACATTTCCTCTGATGAAGCTGATGACTGGTTTATGGCATCTCTAAACACGTGAGTCAGACAACACTAGACTTGCATTTGATTGTCTGTTCCAACTTCCAACACTAATTTCCTACATAGACATCATGTTTGAGCATCATCCGGTAATTCTGCGTCTTCTTGATATTAGATACAAAGACCTGCATGTTTTTCAACTGGAGCATCCGACAAAAGTAATGGAGTGGACGGGTGACAAAAGTAAACCATCTTTGGATCTCTGAAACATGTAGACAGTAGACAGATAAAATGTAAAATCCGTTAAAGGCAGTTTTCTCTTTTATATTCCAGGTATTTGTGTTGCAGGATACAATGGAGCAAAAAGTGAAATGTTAGAATTACTTCTGCCTCTTAAGTTATATGCAGGTGACAACCAGGTGAATAAAGAAATGCAATTCTGGTAGCCTGTCTAGGTATTTTGAATGTGCAATTAATTATCTGCCTATTTGTCACAACTTTAGGGTCTTTGTGCAGAAAGAGACTTCAAAGTACAGCGTGGTGGCTTTTCAGAGGAACCTGTTGAGTGTTTGATACATATCCCAAGAACGAGGTAAGATTTAGATATGTTCAGAACAGAAGTGGACATTAATGTCATCTGCTAAATGGGATAGTTGATAAAACATTTATTAAATCTGATCTATTGTAACTATTCAGTTCATACTATTTTTTTAGGCAAAAACCTACAGTTTGATTTGACTGTCTACAACAGCAAGATAATGAGAAATGTTCAATTCTTCCCTGTTTTAACATTGTATAGGCCTATTTATTTAGCTATGTATGTGCATGATTATATTATATGATTAGTTACATTTTTCTATTTGGGAACCATTGGTCGAGACCTTTTTTTCTCTCGTAATATTAGCTGTTCTTTACAGGTGTGTGGTGACTAGTGGAAGTTCTAGTTCGACGTTGCAGATTTGGGATATTGGAGGCGATGATAGTGGTAGGATATGTCTGTGTTGTTAATTACAAATGGGACTAACAATAAGAAAATCTTTATGTTTTGAGTCCTGTGTAATTGTCTGCAAAATTATTCATATTTTTAAATAATTATTTTAAAATATTTTTTTTGGAACATGTTACATTGTATCATACCATTTTTCAATACAGATGTTATAAAAAGGACTGGAGTCATAAACCTCAAGAGCACATCAGCAAAAGGCATTAAAATAGCACCTGGATTGACAGATGATCCAACAGTTCTTCATGGTTCTTCTATAAGTGATGTTAAGCTGACCGACATAGCAACAGGACGGGTTCTGTATACAGTAGGTAATATCAAAACCTATTAACCTTAACCTTTTTACGGTTGTTTTTAATGAGCTTAATTTAAATTATACATTTAAATTTAAAATTATTAAATATATATATATATATATATATATATATATATATACACAGTGTGTGTGTCTCTCAATTCATATGATTTATTTGTTTATCTTTTATTTTTACAGGAAATGAGTCCTTAGATTCAGTGAGTGGCTTAAAGTTTGTGAATGCTCATGTGTTTCTCATTTGTGCGAGCAATGGCACTCTGCTCATGGGTGACACAAGAGATCCCTTAACTGCTCTTTATCCTCTGGAAGAGAGTAAGAGGGGTTTGCACTGGTCATTTGGGTTGAGGAGTGACGGCTCCCTGTCTGAATCTTCTATTGTAGCAAGACTCTCATCCTCCGCTCACATTCTGCTGTCAGACCTTAGAGATTTACTGAGTCCAATTTGTCAAACCCAACTAAACGTCCAACTCAGCCCACCAAACAATGACTTTCTGAACATTTCCTGGGCTCCTGTTCTCGACAGTTGTCTGGCTGTGTCTGGTAAGTAGAGCTTTTTCCTTTCTGAAATGTGCTAATATTTGGTCTTGTAAGGTTGAATTAAAGCAAATTGTTGTATACATATTTCATAATGCGGACTGTGTGAATTTGACCATTGATTATATGCCCATGCCAATGACATGACAATTTTCTTTTTTTGAAGGGTTTGATGGAACTGTTCACATTTATAACACAACAGATTGGAGCACAGAGGCCCAGAGCCCTCAGCCAATTTTTTCACACAGAGGTCATGAAATGTCACATGATGCAAAACACAGTGGTTCCCCAGCTGTTATCACCACCCATTCTTGGCATCAGTCACGACCAAACACTCTTCTCTCAGCAGCTACGGATGGATCTCTACATGTATGGGACTGGGTGGACATAATCACTGACAGATGATGATGAACTGTTCTGTGATGCATGCATACACCATATTCATGTTTTAAACAGATTTGCATAGTATATTTCTTTACGGGTATATGAATTAATATCAAACAATTAAATAATGTCTTTAAACGTTTACACTGACTGTTAAGTCAATAATCTATATTATTACATGGCTCTCTAGAATACTTTATTCTGCTTCATAAAAACAGCTGGCATAATCTTTACATCTGAATTATCGATTGTAGCGAAAATGACCACGGAGGACGTCAGTGTTCATATTATGTATGTAATATTGTTTCAGTGTTTGTGTTGCAATGGACTTCATTGTCAAATAGGGCTGTCCAGCGATTAATCGCATCCAAAATAAAAGTTTGTGTTTACAAACACAAATATATGTGTATATACAAATATATATGTGGGTGCACTGTGTATAAATTTTTTTGTATATATATAAATACACACATGCATGTATATTTAAGAAATATATTTTTGATGTATATTTTTTTAAATATAACATATTTGTATTTATATGTAACATAAATTACATATAAATCTTTATACATTATATACATGAAAATATTTCTTAAATATATACAAGCATGTGTGTGTATTTATATATATAAATTAATTATACACAGTGCACCCACATATATTATGTAAACACAAACTTTTATTTTGGATGTGATTATGCGCGATTAATCGTTTGACAGCTCTACTTTCAAGTATGCAAAACAGAAGAGAAGCCATTATGTGTAATATTTATTAAGTTTAAAAATGAGTAAACCATGTTCCGGTTACATTTGTGAATGTTTATTCATGTTACATTTGATTGTATATTAATATCTCTGCCACAATTTGTTGCATTTAGAAGTCACATTTATTTTACTCTAATCAGAGATGAAACATGAAAGACATGCTTTAAATTGTCCATTATATGAGTTTTGTTATGTAATGGATCAGTTCAAGAATTATAACAACACATATCAACTCATATGCAAGTTGCTGACAGTGACTATTATGTTGAATCTCTGGTTCCAAATAGACAGTTTCCAGAACATTATTAAAATAAGCAGTTTGCAGCGACAAACTGGGTGGGGAAAAAGTATGTAAAAGGATTTCTGCTATTTTTTTGTTATTGTTTTTTTTTATGACATGAATTATAGGAAATTATATTTTCTACAAGTTTTTCATCTTACATAATGTTATGAATGAACAAATTAGGACATACTGGCATTGAAGAAATTAACATTTAATAAAATACACATTTTGCAATAGTTCTATAAAGTATGTAATGCTATAAATGAAAAAAAAGTTACTGTACATTAGATAGATCAACAATTCATTTTAAAGTACTTGACTTGAGTATTCAATTAAAGGGTCATGAAACCCCCCTCTTTCAGCTAATCCAAGTGGCGCCTATGAATGTCACTAAAAAGCAATGGTAAAATGTGAGAAAATGCTAGATTTTTATATATAGGCTAGCAGGCAAAGTTAAAGTCTTATGAAATACACTGACACTTTATTATTGTCCTTTCAAAAGTAACCGAATGCCCTGCTACATATTAGCCTACAGTAATCGTAATTATATTTAAAACATATTAATGGTGGCTAATTATAATGTTATTATAAAATATATAGTGGTTTATAGACACTATAAATGCATTGCAGAAAAAAATATTAATTTTCCACTTAAAAAAATCGTTTTCAAAGATGGTTCGGCGGAGGTGGACGACTTCTCATTTTAAACACACACACGTCTGGTTTACTATCTTTGAGGGGACTCTCCATAGGCGTAATGGATTTTATACTGTACAGACTGTATATTCTATCCCCTTACCCTGCCCCTCTCCCTAAACCTACCCCTAACAGGAAACATTCTGCATTTTTACATTTTCAAAAAACATTACTTGGTATGATTTATGCTGTTTTCCTCACAATATAGGTGATTTTCAGGTTTTACTATACTTATGGGGACATTTGGTCCACACAATGTAATATAAACATGAACACACACACACCTCTGAAGGGATAGAAAAGTCCTCGGGATACCGCCACATCTCTCGCAAGACGCTACTTGGATTACTTGTCAACAAGGCGAAGTCCACCATTCTCCACTTCTCGCTGCTCTCTCTCTCTCTAGAGAAAATGTTCGCAGCACACACTATAGATTAGATCATGTTTAGAAGTGTCCGTGGTTGATGGCAAATCAGCCATCCAGAGCCAGAGTCTAACCCCTGCAGCATCGCGGGGAATATATTCAACCCACTTGGACTTTGCACCATGAAAACAAACACTTGCGTCCAATGATTGCCTCTCTCATCTATACATCACAGTTTGACATGTCTGTCGTTGGAAAGATCCACGTGGTGTCATGAATAATTAAGAAACCGTGTCTTCTCATAGGATAAGAAAAGTCAGTCTCATTAATATTTATGAGACACCGATGAGTCGTCAATGCACTCACAGTGCACAGCAGGTGACGTGGACACGATGAAGATTTTAAACCCGGTGTTCTGTCGATTTTTGCTGCCTTGTCCAAAAATGCTACCATAGCGCGAATTGATCACAGAATGCCGATTAAAGTCGTATGAAATACAATTCTAATACAATTCTAAGTTATGAGTAGCTACTGTATACTGTAGACTACTGTTTTTATTTTTAAAACGGTGTGAAAAGTAAAAATTATCATAAAATATTCATCTTTGACTTGTCAAAGTACACCTTTCCTCATAGTAACTGAAACTTTCAGTTATTCCTTTTCAGCTGGCTGACCGTACAAATATTCATATGGTAGTAAGCATTTTTTAAAGGGAAATTATACATTATAAAAGGAAAATGTACCTTTTGTAAAAAAAATTACAAAAAACAAAAAAAAAAACTGTGAGTCTGCACATGCGCATAACCGGTAAGTAGGAAATCTCGATGGGTAGCATGAATTGTCAGAACACCGGGAAGACGAAAAAAGCAAAGAACCCCCCCCCCCCCCTATATTTAACTATTTTAACCCTATTATTAAATCTAACAGATGCTAACATTGTCTTCAATGGTGTTCAACACACATACATCTGTTAAAATCTCATTGGTTTGGGTTTCCTGACCCTTTAATAGTAAATGTACATGTTCACAGTTTTTTCTCAGGGAGTTCGAACAGCAAAAAGGCTATTTCTTCATTCTCATGTTCCTTTCCACATTCCATGAGACAAGCAAAGCGTCCAGGCTCATACTCAACCAGATCTGAATATGCACTGGGACCATTATGCAATATAAGTAAAGGTTCATCCGGCCACCCAGAGGAATCCAATGGAGAGTTATTCAAGTAGAGACCAAGATCCACTCTCTTTTTTGGATCGGATGGATGGGAGTAGAGCAGCAATGTCTTTGCAGGACTACTCTGATCAAGAAAACTCAACACACTGCCTTGGCAACCTTTTCCAGTCTCTATTAGTTTATGTGAGGTTAAAACTTTGTCAAAATCCTCTCCAGAGTTGTAGCTTAGTGCCTCCGTTCTGTAGCCAAGGCGGGTTCTGGCATTGCAGTACAGAGTACTGGTACCTTTTTCATCTATGATCTCAGCCATCTGACACTCACATGACTCAACAGACATTTGGTTTCCTGCTTTCCATGTGGTTCCTTTATCATCGCTGTAGAACGCTAAAGCATAAGATGTGAAACAGCAAAATGATAAGCAGCAACATGATGTGCAATCAGGTTTGCCAGTGTATCGATACGCATAGGCCGGGATAATCAGTCTCCCACTCTTCATTTGAACACCATGTCCTGGTCCAACAGCAAAGGGGGCCCAGCCCTGCACCTGCTCACCAATCACATCTGCTGTCAAGTCTGTAGTTTGACTCCAGGTTTTGCCAGCATCCTTACTGGTTACATAACAGAGCCGTCCTTGGCTCTTATCTGTCCGAATTTGTTCGTATTCAGAGACCCCTTTGGGAATACACACAAAAAACAGGAAAAGGGTCTTGGAATCTCTCTCATAGACCGGACATGGATTCATGCTGCGGTGGTTTGGTAGACAAGCTGAAGTGAGCAACTGATGACCACTGACCCACTGAAATAAAAAAGCATCATGACTGTTTTCATGCTAGGTTGTGTAAAGTATCTATGAAATAGCGAAGTTGTTAAAAAAATGAATTTGTACCTCAACTTCTTTAATCTTCTTGCCATTATTCCATGTTCCTCTTCTCATCACAAGCACTTCTGCACTTGTGTCACTTAATGTTTTTCTCTTTTCAGCAAAAGCCAGGAAGGTTTGATCGTTATTGAGATACACAAGGGCTGGAATTCTGTATGACACTTGTTTTTTACAACAGCAACACCAATTTTGAGGCTGTTCCTGTTTGAATATTGTTGTTGTGTTTATGTTTTTAAGATTGCGTCTTGATGGTGTCTTGTTACCCATTGTTAAATTTGAGCTCTAGAAAAAGAATATACAGCATCAGTTTCAGTAAGTAGTCAGAAAAAAGTCTGAATAATTTGTATAATAATTATAGAAATATAATTATATTTATAACTAACATATAATATAGCTTCTGCTGCCACATTTTCCTTGCTTCTTGCGAAACGCACAATACTCAATAATAAATACAGTCAAGAGAGACTGAGAGCCCGAATGAAAACGTCATGCCATCCTTCGCAGGTAGGACAAAGGATGGGAATCATATAACACTGTCTCACGTCCAAAACAAAACAATGAATCCAATCACTGTACAGACAAAAGGTTTTTGCACTTCAGTCTGCAAATTCAATGATGGCACTTTTTTAGTTTTTACAGGGGTGCTTTATTATTACTATTATTATTATCTCATTTTTACTTAAAATTCAGTATGACAGCATTTTTGTTTACCATAACCTACATGGGGATCATCCATGGTTTCTGTCCTTGTTGATAATTCTCTATTAGACTATAAGAAGATACTCACAGAAAGCAGCAAATGATTCTCACAGCAGGTTTGTCACCACACACACCACACGAGCCTCTCATCAGGTCTAATTAAAACATGCTGAGCATCCTGTATTTATAAGAAGCTAGGTTAAACATTACACATCAACATCACGATAAGTAACAGTTAGCATGTGGTTATATATTAATTATATATAGTTATTGATTTGGCTAACTACACACATAAATCACATGTTCTTTATTGCTATCCATTAACAACCATTAACATCCATGGAACCTTTCCATTGCACAAAATTATTTTTCTATTAATATTGCTCACTAGATTATAGTCAACAATAAACATGGAACACCTAGAAAAGTATTAAGAACATTCTTTATTTTTTTTCCTCAACTAATCTTTTGCTTAATCATTTTAAATTTCAATCAGTATTTTCAAATAAATATCTCACCTTTCAATGCGGAGAAAGGGGAGACGTGTTTCTTTGAAACCTGTTAAGAAATTTAGGGTGTTGCAAAAAAAAAGTTTCGCCTTTTCGGCTTTGCCTGTGTTAATGATAACTGCCTAAAATTAGGCACAGGTGTGTATTTTTATTGGAACTTTACTATCTCACCACCATTTCCATTAAAAAAACTATTGTGCATCTCAGTGCCTTTTGGACAAAAATGTCCCAATTGAAACCCATTAAAACTGTAATTTTTAATCCCAGGGCCATTTAAAATGATGCAGTCTTTGTTAATTTTTACTATTTTTTTATGAGATGGTGCCATTTTTCATGTTTGGCCTATAAAGCAAATACTTGCTTTATTCTGGTTTTCTGCTTCGGTATATTATAAAGGCAACTGGATGAATTGTGCAACGATAATTGTGTGGGTGTGTTGGTACGGATGTCTGAGTGTGATTTGTAACAAAATCTTCAGCCCGTTCTCATCCCAAGGCGTCATATACGACGCTTTTGCCAAAGCGTAGACATCCAACGCACATGGCACTCTTTAGCGTCAATATGAGACGCAGTTATATGGGGCAGAAGGCGCCTCCTAGTGGTCTAACCTTAACCCTACCCCAGACCTAAACCTACCCATACTCTGTGTGTGTTACAGTATATTGACGGTATATTGACTAAAGGGTGCCATGTGCGTTGGATGTATACGCTTTGGCAAAAAGCATTATATATGAGTACTCTTTGGCAAAAGCGTCGTATGAGAATGCGTTGAAATCTTACTGAAAGCTAATTTTTTTGAGATATCATCCTTAAATTTGGAACACAACTTATTTAGATTTATGGCTTTGATTTTCTAGCCGTTTTAGAGTTCAACTTGTTTCATAAAATACATATTTAAATATGATTTAAAATAATGTCCATTATTTATTTTCTTTTTAAATTAATTTTCTAAAAAAAACTTGGGATTTACTTATTATTATTATTAATTTTACTTCAGCAATAATTTACCAACAGTGTTCTTTTAAATGATACCAAACTTAAGTCTGTGCTCCCAAGCTTCAGATTTTTATGACATTTAGGAAATTTTTTGTCCTCTATGTGTAACTTTTTAAAATTGATGCACAATCAGGGAATTAGTCTTTTGAGAAATACTCTTCTGGAATGGGAGGCATACAGTATGTTTTATTTCTGGACATGGTAGGAAAAAGACTGCAATGCAAAGTAGAGATGAAATGCATTAGTTCTCCTGTTTGACACAATCTTAAATGGCTGTGTTGGATAAAAAAAATATTGTTTTATAATATGTTTTATATTGTTTTATTTGTTTTATATATAACTGTCAATGATTACATTCAATTATCTAGCAAATGTCACATGGCTCGTTGGGCAAAAATCTGGTGATCTTCCAGTTACCGCCCTTCCATTGTGATGTGTATTCTCAGACAGATCTTGTTTACCAAACTGGGCAAATCATTGACAGATGACAATATATTTTATCACTAAGAGATAAAGGAATTTAAGACTTATTTTTTAACTCCAACCTAGTGAACTATGGCAACATTTGGTATAGGAGAATTATTAAATAAATTAAGAGCCAACACATGTTATGCTGGACTATAAATGGGCTAACTTATTTCATTAACATTATCTCTCATGTCAAAAAGGATTTATGGTCTCCCCACCCCTTATGTTGACAGTCACATATCTTCACAAATTTATCAGAACATTAGGCCCTTATCTTGACTGAGCACTCAAATAAAAGTAACAATACGTGAAAGGTGTGACACAGCAGAAGCAACATGTGCAACCCAATAATAATACCCAATGATTTCAAGAGTCTACAGCTCTACAGAAAAACTACAGCTTGCACATTTTAGATTGGGATCATAATGCATGCTCAATTATGACAGATTTCAACCAGAGGCATTGAAGGATTGCATTGAGATACAACTCAAGCACCAAAGGACTACTTAAAGAAGTCAGTAAAACAAATCAACAGAAATAAAGCATAAGAACAGTGGCGGTAGTGAGGAAAGCAGCTGGCTACTTTTGCAATAAAAAACCTGACATTAACAACAAAAATTTAATAATAGCACAAAACTGCTTTGCATTATTATTAATGGATTTTTTTTTTTTTTTTTTGCAAGATAATAATACATTATAAAGTTACCATTCAAAGGTTTAGGGTAAGACCACTTTTTTTTAGACCAAGTTTTTAAACATTTAAATGTTTATGTTACGAAGGTTACATTTACAAAAACTGGAATACTGTGAAATATTATTGCAAATTTTTTTAATTGCAAATCTGATTTTTTTAGAATCATAACTCCAGTCTTTAGTATCATATAATCTTTCATTCTAATAAGCAGATTTTATGCTCAAGTAATATTTCTTATTATTATGAAGGTTGAGCTATGTGCAATGGGCTGCTTACATTTTGCAAAAATATGATATTAAGTGTTTCTTTGATGAATAGGGAACAGCAAGATGTAAACAACAGCATTTATTTTTAGTGTAATTTTTTTTTTGATTTGTTATTCATTTAATGCATCATTTCTGAATAAAAGTATTATTTTCTAAAAAATCTTACTGAGCCCAAACTTTTGTTTTGTATAAGACCTTCATATTTTGGAGATCTAAAAATGTCTAATTTCAGTTGTTTAAGTACATGTCCATTATTTTAGTAGTATTTTAATCATTTACTATCTAAAAGAAAATGTTGACTTGTTTTGCTGTCTCATTCAGTGCCTTTGGCCTGGATGATATCACTGAGTTTAAAAAGGGCAAAAGCAATGCCTTCAACATAACTTATCTCTCCACATTCCATGAGACAGGCAACGTGTTTTCCATCCCCACACTGAGCCAGATCTGAGTATCCACTTGGACCAAAATGGATGATCAATTTATGATCCTCCCATCCAGAGGCATCCAAAGGGGTTTTATTCAAGTAGACGCCAAGGCACGTTCTCTTGCTTGGATTGGTTGGATGGCAATAGAGTAGCCATGTGTTCTCAGGATCTTGATCAGGAGCAAAACTCAACACACTTCCTTGGCAACCATGTCCAGTCTCTGTCAGCTTATGTTTAGATGAACGTTTGTCAAAATTTTCTCCATCATTCTTACTTAGAGAGCCTCAACTCTATGGCCGGATGTACTTCGAGCATTGCAGTAGAGTGTACTGTTACCTTTGTCGCCTATGATCTCAGCCATCTGACACTCACAAGACTCAACATCCATACGTTTTCCTACATGCCAAGTGCTTCCTTTATTATCACTGTAGAATGCAAATGCATGCGCTGTGGGCTTATGGTTGTGTGTGTGGCAAGGATACACATAGGCCGGGATAATCAGTCTCCCGCTCTTCATTTGAACACCATGTCCTGGTCCAACAGCAAAGGTGGCCCAGTCCTTCACCTGCTCACCAATCACATCTACTGTCAAGTCTGTAATATGGCTCCAGGTCTTGCCAGTGTCCTTACTGGTTATGTAACAAAGTTTTGCCTGATTCTCTTTTTTATGTATTTGTTCACGTTCAGAGAGCCCAACAGGAACAGTGATGAAAAACAGGAAGAGGGTCTTGGAATCTCTCTCATAGACCGGACATGGATTCATGTTACGGTGGTTGGGTTGACAAGCTGAACTGAGCAACTCATGACCACTATTCCACTAAAAATAAATAAATAAATATAGTATATATATATATATAAACATTGTGATAGTGTTCATGTCTTATTATGCAACTCACTGAATAAATAAATGGACAAGAAATATTGATTCAAATTGAAATGATTTGATAATTTTACTTTTAGGCTACAGGCCTAATATTAACACTTAAATTCCAGAGAACTGTGTAATAATGTACAAGACTGACTAAATATTAATGTAAAGTCTCACCTCAACTCCTTCATCTTTCCATATTCCTTTTCTCATCACAAGGACATCTGCATCCGTGTCGTCAGCAGTTTTTCTCTTTTCAGCAAAAGCAAGGAAGGTTTGATTGTCACAGATATAGATGAGAGCTGGAATTCTGTACGTCACCTGCTGTCCTTCAGAGTTCATTCTCCTGTTTGAATAATGTTGTTAGTGGAAATGGCCTTGATTTGCTTGGTTGTTGTTTGTCCATTTTTAAGTCCTAGAAATAGAATAAGCAGTTTTATATTAGCATTCACGTGGTGGAGTCTTACAGAGGGCTTGTTTAAGCCATATTTATGAAAGAGTAATGTATGGATAGAATATTTTTTGCTATACCCTGTCCTTCATCTCCCCATACTCTAATCATAGAGAAAATGCATTGTGCAATGCGTGGGTTTGTTGGAGTTGGAGTGTGTGTATTTTCATTACTTCGATCAAATTACAAGCAGTCATGAAGCTAACCATACCACGAAGTACGTGCAAGTGCTAATGCAAGTAAATAATACTAACATGAAAGCAAAAATGACGGTTCGACGCTTGCCGACAAGAGCCTTTGTATTTCAGTGACTAACTTAACTGTAGTTGCCTTTTTAAGCGTCCAGCAGTAACTCACTAAAGCCAAGCGTACTAAATAGCAACATGAAACAAGTTGATAGGACACCGCATGAATGAACGACATACTCACAGAAATGTTCTTGTCTTTTCTGCAACAAACACGAAAGTGAGCAGCAGGTAGGTTTCTTTAACACAGACTTCCACCAGAAACCAAACTTGATCTTACACACGCTGTTTTGTTTTTTGTTTTGTTCGGATGTTGTTGTTTTTTACTGCGAGAGCAAGACTAATAATAAATTATTATTCACTCAGACTCCTATCCGTGTGCTTGCGTGTTTTTATTTTCTTTTTTACCGTCTATGATTTCGACAACTATCAGTTTTCAGTTAACTGTACATCATGGTAAGATGGCTGACAACTTAAGATCGCCCCCTACAGACATCACAAAATATAATTGTAAAATGAGACACTTTCTTGAAAAATTCACATCAATGATACTGATTACTGAATAACTCATAAGCTGGGAGAAAATATCATCGTTTTAATGTTATGTATTAGTAAAATATAATATCCACCTTATATAAATCAAATGTATTTGGCTGCAGATTTTAATCAGTCAACTTTGATTAAAATGATGACCACACTAAAAGGTATCCATATCATTCCAAAAGATTCAGTGACACCAATCTAAAACAGTGAAGTACTTGAAAACACTATTTATTTTAACTAACCAGATGGTTGTAATGAATCTGTGTGGAAATTCCAGACAACACAGCTATAAGGCTACAATAAAAAAGGAAAAGAAAAAAGTCAACTCTACACCAAAGTTAGTACATATGAAATTGACGAGCTAAGGACACTTTTGCACCCCAAGCCAGTAGCAGGTGGTATTGAAAAATATCTTTAACATTTTTTAACATGGAACCAACCAAGTGTCAATTAAAATCAATTAAAAAAGGTCTACACACACTAAAATAAAAATCAAGCAGACGGCACCATTCGTTTTAGATTACAAAAAAGAACACTAGGCCATTTTTTAGAAGAACATTTTTTAATCAATATGCATATGCAATTATTTATATAACCTTTATTTTACATGACCTATGTTTTTATTTTCCTAGCATAATCAGTATTTAAGCATGCACATTTTGACACTTCATTTCATTGAATGCTCTCAAAGAGATACAAATGAGCAGGGACAACCATTCAAAATGCATTTTATTTTATCCTGTAGAAAGATGTAAATCTAACCCAAAAGCAAATGTTAAAAGATCCCACATTTCATTTGCTCTTATATCATTTCAAGTGCGCAATACATCGCTGAGCTTGAATTCCAAAAAGGCTATCTCCTCAATCTCACTTTTCTCTCCACACTCCACGAGGCAGGCAAATCGCTCCCCACACTGCGTCAAGTCCGAGTATCCACTGGGACCATTACAGATGATCCATGGACGGCCCCAACCAGAAGAATTCAAGGGTGATTTATTCAAGTAAACTCCAAGATCCTTCCTTTTCTTTTTAGAAGTTGGATGGGAGTAGAGTAACCAAGTTTTTGTGTCTGACTTAGTCAAGCAATCACTTGGTTTCTGCTCCCCTTCCTCCGATGGCTCGGGCACGGGGAAGCTCAACACGCTACCCTGGCAGCCGTGATGGGCCTCCACTAGTTTCCTTGCAACGTGAGGGTTGTCAAAATTTGCTCCGCTGCTTTTACTTAAAGCCTCTACTCTGTGGCCAAATGTACTACGGGCATTGCAGTACAAACGACTCTGATCAGCACACTCTATTATCTCAGCCATCTCACATTCACAGGATTTCATTTGGATTTTCTCCCCCATCTGCCAGGTGACGCCACAATCATCACTATAGAATGATAAAGCATGAGGCCTGACTTTGAGTGGAAAATGAAAGGGAAAACATCTACAGTGTATGTAATAAACATAAGCTGGAATGATTAGTCTTCCGCTTTTCATCTGAATCCCATGTCCTGGTCCTACTGCAAAAGTAGCCCACTTGCGAATCTCATCTCCAATAACGCTATTAGATAAATCTGTTAACTTGCTCCAGCTCTGGCCATAGTCTGTACTAGTGACATAACACAGCCGGGCTTGGTTCCTACCCGTAGCAATCTGATGATATTCCGTGATATTGCCCAATATGCATACAAAAAACAGATAGATGGTTTTGGATTTCCTCTCATAGACTGGACAAGGATTCATAGTGCGATGATCCGGCAAACTGGCAGAAGAGAGTGTTTGAACAGGAGACCACTGCACACAAAGACAATTCATTCAATTATATATAAATATCTAATTATGAAATCATATTTTATTGTTCAAAAGCTTGGGGTTGGTTAGATTTTTAGAACATATTTTTAAAAGAAGTCTGTGATGTTCACCGAGGGTGCATTTATTTTATCAAAGTGCAGTAAGAGGAATATTGTGAAATATTATTACACTATAAAAATTCTTCTATTTGATTATTTTGATTTGACATTTTAACAATTAAAATGTAATTTATTCTTGTGACGGCAAAGCTGAATTTTCAGCAGTCTTTAGTCACGTGATCCTCATTGTAATATTCTGGTTTAAAGCTTTTCGAAATAAAAAGCTCGAAAGAACAGCATTTATTTTTAAATAAAATCTCTTTAACAATGTAAAAGCCTTAACTGTCACTTTTTGATCAAATGCGTCCTTGCTGACTAAAAGTAATTTGACAAAAATCATATTGACCCCAAATTAACAGTAGAGTGTAATATTAAATATGAATACATTCAAATATATTGAACAGGAAATATTTTAATTACTTCAAGAGATCCATTTAGCAGCAATCCCCTCCTCATGACCAGCAATTTTGCATCACTGTCACATGGAGAGCTGCGCTCTTCAGCAAAAGCAAGGAAAGTCTGACCATCACTGATGTAGATCAGAGCAGGAATTCTGTATGTTTTACCATCCCCTTGCTGGAATAATGCTGTTCGTGCAGGTGGAGATTGCTGGGGATCTTCTGGGTAGCTTTTTGACGTCATGCTGTCAATCATTCCTAGACCAAGTAGGCAAAAATAGGTATATGATACGTTGTAATGCTGTAGACTTTAAACTTGTGGGGTGTTCATGCACATATCTAGACACTTGTTAGTTTTGAGACGTCTTGAGAAAATAGTACTGGTCCTGATTTATTAATATAAACATAATAATCATTTAAAAGTCGACTTAAACGTCCTGAACGGGACATATTTAGTCAAGATTGAGTCGTCGCTTACATAGGCAATGTTCAATCAAACGATGCGACCACAAACCTTTTTAAAATGAAAATATGTGAAATGTAGTTTGTACAGTTCACCTTCCGTGCATTACATCTCATTAGCAATCTGTTTGAATTCAACTCAAAAGAGAGTGAGGCTACGGAAGCTCTCCGTCTCCTGTGCTGTTTCCTCTAGCTGGGCAAGAGGAAAGAGGAAACGTTGTTGTGCATTGTGGGACATGTAGTTCCGAACCAACAAGCACGGGTGTAACTTGTTTCATTCACTTGTATGAATTCAGTGGGATATTGAATAACATTTATGTTCTATTACTTTACGATTTTCAAACTGTATTCATAGAGTTAAAATCGCAACGATGTCAGTAAATGCTGAAAAAGTACTACATTTCCCATATCGCTTAACTACAGTTGCTAAGAAACAGACTTTATTCGAGAAACATGCTAGAAGGGTCTTAGTGGTTCAGAGTAAAAAATAAATTACGTTTCCAGAGTTATAGTAGGGCCTAGTTAATCCTAACGTATCTGGTTAAAGGCGTTGTTTGTCTTTATTTTGCTGTGTAACGTGGTTCACAATCACATGACTGTTTTCTAGGCGATAACAGCTCACTAAAGGGGATGACAGGACATGGGATTTACAAATTTGAAAATGAAGAAAGTTACCCATCAAATTGCTTCCCATCAAGATCATATTTTCATCCAAGAAACGAAAGTGAGTATTATTCCTGTGATGGTAAACCTGGATTTTCACTTCAGTTTTCAGTGTCAAATTATCCTTCAGAAATCATTATAATATGCTGAAATAATAAACATTTCTTATTATTATCAATGTCGAAGACGGTTAACGTTAATAGTTTTGCTTTATAATACTTTAATTTTATATGATTGTTTAAGGAATAGAAAGTTCAAAAGAACAGCATTTAGTTATATTAGAAATTATTTTAACAATGTGAAAGTAGTCATTTTTAATCCATTTAATGTACTCTTGCTAAATAAAAGTATTAATTTCTTAATATATATATATATATATATATATATATTACATTTAAAATAAATAATTGCATCTATTAAACAGTATTACTGAGGTATTATTTCACTTTAAAGGGGCAGGACACTGGCTAGTAGCACACCGAAATACATTGGAAGAGGGAATATCAAAAAGGAAAAAAGTTTCAGGATCGTGTTTCGAAGTGCACTCTGGGAAACATGAAAAGGGAAGAACAAAGAGTGCAAGCAGGACTTTAGATGCTCAACTTTAATGCTTTCACATTAGTAATTCTGCTATTAATTATTTTATTCATTGGTTTCACATGTGACTCTGATGTTCAATATCTCTTACTAACACACACTTCCACTATACTTCAGATTACACTGCATTGTGTGGATAAGCCCTCTGACCTCTGTTCTGTTAACATCAGTGGCCAGCATTTGCAAATGGTAAGGCCATAAAACATATTGGGATTGGTGGTAGCCTTGGAGTCAAAATGTTTAAGAACCAATGTTTTAAGCCATCTGCCTTTACATGACAAAAGGATTTTTCTTTTTTTTAAACAGGTCAAACTTGAGGGTTTGGACAAATTTGATCAGATTACTTACATAAATGCCTCTGATAACCATTTAACTTTAGGTAATCAAATATTTGTTATATTCTTTTGATATTTCTAGTGTAACAAGTGTCAAATGTGCTTATATATATATTTTTTTTCCTAGAGCCTTTTAAAAGGTTTCCTGCACTAAGAGAATTGGAACTATCACTGAACAGTCTCCATAAATTTGATATTCACGCTGAAGAATTCCAGAGATTGGAGGTGAGTTTGTTTAAATACTGGGTTGTGATCGCATTCATTGTGATGATCTAAAAAGCTTGACATTATTACTTTTTACAGGTTTTGGATTTATCTTTCAATAACATATCAGGAGAAAGTATATTAAATCTAGGCCTGTTAGCACGTCTGAAGGTGCTTCATCTAACTGGAAACCAACTGCAGATGCTTCCACCTAATATGGCTGGACCTTGTACCTGCCCTGGAGAGAAGTAAAGGAGACTTTAAAATCTCTTTTAAATACTTTATCTAAGTAGAAAATGTGCTTAGAAATGCTATGCGTATCCTTTATTTTAAAAGTATGGAATTTCAAGTCACAAGTGACTTTTTCACCTAAAGTTTTGAATGTTTGAAATTACCTTACACATTTTCCTTTTTGTTAGGAGCCCACAACAGGGTACCTTGCTATTTCAAAAACTTGAAGTATTGATGCTTGATGAGAACAAATTATCATCTCCAGGAGTGTTTATGAGTCTTGCTAATTTACAAAGGTAAGTAAGCTGTTTCTAGAGAAATATGTGGCATAAATGAAGTTTCTCGAGTATTCAAATGAATTAATTTTATGTAACAAAGACAGATCATTTGACAAGTCCTGGATTGTGGCAGGTGCTTTGGATATGTAATGGAATCTTTATCATATGCAAAAACATTTGAGTTTATAATATACATTTATCTACAATAAAAAAATTAAAAATGCTAAATTTCACTCATTACAATCAGTTATTTGCAACATTCGCCTATCAAATCAGTCTCAGTTTATTTTTATCAAACAATGGTGTAGCCCAAGGAAATTACCCGTGTTGTAAACATAAAGTGATAAAGGGGCTCTGTTTTGTTTTTAAATTTATAATTTATAAATCTATTAACTAAGAAAACTGCAAAAGTAGGATGCTTACATTTGACATTGTTTAGGAACCATTTAAGTGATTCTCGCATTCTCTCTTAAATTTGTTTTGTGCATTTAGGCTTTGTCATCTAAACTTACAAGGAAATTGCATCTCAGGAGTCCCATTCTTGGAACAAACGGCAACATTACGAGATGACAAAACAAATGACAAGAGGATAAAGTGTTAGTATATTTAATAATAATAATAATAATAATAAAAACATTTTAGTTTGGTTCATATCTGTTCATTTTTCCAATTCTTTGCCAAATAGTCTCTGAAATCACCATGAGCCAGCAAAAAACAGAAAAAACTTTGGAAGTATGTCTATATAAGTCATATCCATTTTTTTTTTCTCTCAATATTATCATTGATATTCATCAGCATTTTATAATGTAAATATGCAATAGAAGGACAAAGCATGTCTTGAAATACATTCTGGTCCCTCAAAATACTGTGATGATCAGAGAAAGGAGGATGGAAGCTCAATGGATCTCCGTCGGCGTCCACCTTTTCAGGAACTTCGTCATCTGATTTTGGCCAACAATGAGGTCTGTGTATTTGTTTCTGTCTTTGATTTTTTTTTTACAAACATAGACAGCTGAATTAAGTCATTGACAGCAGAGCGTTTTGCCAATTTTCCCTCTAGATAGCTGAGGAAGAAGCATTGTTGCCTGTGGCATTGTTTCCAAAGCTCAATGAGCTTGTTATTCACTCAAACCCCTTGACAACACAGAGAAGTGGTAAGCTCACACATCCTCAGGCAGGCTCATTGCTAGGGCATTAAATGAAGACTTTCTTTCTGTGTTTTTCAATACAGGCGACCCACCAATGCTGACCTATTTTCTTCAAGACAAGCTGGGCATTAAGATAAGGCGCAAAATCACAACGGATCGCATTAAGCGACATATTAAACTCCCTATCAATCCTAAAAGAAAGGTGTCACAACTTAACTTAATCTTAACTTAACTTAATGTTTTCAGAAGCAGTTTAAACTTCCACTTACATTTTCAGGTGAAAACTACAATTCCAAACATACCAAAATTTCCTTCGATCATGGAAAACCAACATGCTACAAAACCACTCTGCCCAAAGAAATATACTGGAGAAGAAAGTCCTCAACCCTCAGAGTATGGGTTAATGCATGCATTTGGCTTATCGTCTCAAACGAGCATTGAAGACGAGGAAGACATTGTCATGGGCCAGGAGCATTTAGACTTGCCAAGTGCAGACATATCCTTTGAGGCGAATCAAGATGCAGAGCCGTTCTTTGTAACAGAGGTAATTGTTTGTATCTTAATCTACATATCAAGACTTGTATGATATGCATGTTAGAAAACTTATTTGTTTTATTCTATTTTCCAGATTAATGGCCCAAATCAATCTGAATACCAAGAAGAGCTGGATTATCCAAAGCCTGGAAATGAAATTATTTCCAGCCTGGAAATGAAAGCCAGTAAAGCATGTCCAGTAAAACTGATTGGTTACGAAATCTTACTTGATGACACATCTGAGCCAGAAATGCCTGAGATTTCTGGTAAGAATTTTCCTTGAACTCTTTGTTTAACCTGTTGCTTTGTTTGACTCAGTGCCATTTTGTTTGTTCTTGTTGTCACTGATTTCCTTCGACGCAGGAATTCAACATGCCGTAAGGATTTTGGAGCACACACTCAAGAACCTGCTTGTCTATAGAGATTCTAAAGCAAATCTGGACCTTCCTCAGAAGCCGTACGCCGAAAGAGAGAAAAGGGTCAGTGGTCGTTCATCGGCTCTATACGGTGCAGTCATCATCTACACTAAGATGTTAATGCCATTATTGAATCCTGCATGAGTCATCTGTTATGAGTAACACAGCAGGAACTTTCTTTTCACAGATTAGAAATCTGCCGCCTTTGAGACCTAAAAAGTCAAAGGGAGAAAAAGTTGAAGAACTTCTTGCCCAAATAAAGGAGGCGAAAACAATAAGCAAAGTTCCCTTTGGTAAACGATGCTTCCTTTATCATTTTTATGGCAAGCTTTGAAATGTCACTTATTTATTAAAATGACAAAACCGAGATGGAACCCAGTGTAAATAAGCAAGTCAAGTTGCTTTTTCAGCGGGAGCAGCATTTAAACGTTATCATCAACTAGCAGGTCAACTATCAAGAACACTACTGAGATGTTGTAGTGATTGTGCGGCACTGTTTACTTTGAAATGCTCTATTTGGCTCTGCAGCTGTTCCTCTATTATTTCAACACTTAACAGATTGCTGGTGTGTTGGACTGTGCTGCATAAATGAACTTCAGTGCAATGATTGTGGATATGCCATATAACCTCCAGACTACTGTTAATATGAATAAATTGATATTGCTCATAGATATTTAATGCAACTTCATATATTCTTTATGCAGATAATGTACTCAAAGGAGGGAATGATATTTGTAAGAGAGAATATAAAGAAGCACTAACTCTGCTGAAGGACATGAAAAGGAAGTACAGGACGGCCCATTTGAAAAGAGTGGAACAAGCAAAACAGATTGAGACTGAGAAGACGTATTCCCTTTGAGGGATTGCCTCAAATAATCACTTTTCACTTCATTAATTAACTTTTTTTTTTTTTTTAATATGGTAAGAGTTGGGCTGTTTTGTCTTTTGAGTGTTTTGACACAATAAAATTAATGTTTGGTCATTTGCAGAAAGTATACTTTAAAAGAAATTATCGATATTTTTACCTGAAATATTTTAGCATTTGTCATTATGGAATGTAAATGTTTTGAAAGGTGAAGAAAAGAAATGGGAACAAATTAAAATATATATTATATTTTATATTATATATTATAAATTGAATATAAAATTGATTGTAACTCAGTGAGTAGTTTTTTATATACCATTGTCAATTTGAAGGTTAATATATTTAGAACAGGACCAACAATAAAACATAGTTTAATGTATAACATAACATATATCAGGATAATAACAGATTTCATTAACTCAGAATGTGCATTATACTAATAGTGTGCAGCAGTTTGCTTAAAAAAAAAAACATTAACAAAGGCTAAGCTACTCCAGAAAATAATGAGTATTTAAAAATTGTACATGTAAATGTGCCATGCTTGTTTTTTCTTTATTAAGTAAAAGCTTTTATTCCTGATAATATCCAGAAGTTCGCATTTTTTTCATAACCAAAACATTAGTTGTAAAGTGTTTAAACACAAGGAACAAGTTGGTTTTCCTGTAGGAGGCGCTTTTGATAAAACCGAGAGGCGCTTGCTTCAGAAACTCCCACAGAGCATTGTAGTTATAAAGTGTGGAGAAGTTTGAGAAGACAAATCCTGCATGCCCACGGTTTTCTGCAATATGATGAAAATAATGACCTACTTGAGGCATCTATTCATTTTGGTCACAATGCGATGCGTCGTTCAGAGTGAAACAGATGCAATACGACCAGGAAAAGGTAAGTGACTCCATCAACGAATATTTTATTAGTAAATGGGCATCACCCTTCGATGCATCATTCTGCCAGCGATGCGACTGTATTGAAAATGCTGTGATTAAGTTATACAGTGGTCTTTTCAGTGTTTTTAAAGTAATGCAAATGAAAGGAAATTCCGTTAAACCGTGACATTGTATCCCACATTAACATATTATGTGTAAACAACGAGATTATTATTCTACTTCAAGGTAATTTTATTGAACAGGGAGGGAGAGAAAGAAAGAACCAGGAGGGGTTAAAACAGTTTTAGACTCAATGAAAAATAGTAAACCCATCCATATTAATGACATCTTTTTAAAGAAAACAAAAATCCAATAACCAGTAAAACGCCGTTTTTGTCTCCCCATCCATGTTTGCTAATTATGTAGTAGGCCTATTGATTATCCCTCACTATAATTGTAGGTTTAAGTAAACATTAATTTCCGTGAAAATACTTTCCAGGTTATGCGTCAAATCAATTATGATAATAACTCCCCCTTGATGTATAATTTAATTCAAACAAAACTGTCATAATGAAATTATCATTCTTTCAGGATATTTTCCATTGTCTCACTTTTTTTTTAATCATATTTTGTAAGGTTTGTTAGTACAGAAAAAATATTTTATTCTTGTTAATTGCCTTTTTAATAAATATCTGTCAGTGTCTTAAAGCTATCGCTTTACAGAATACATAATATTTGGGATTAAAACATTTATAATTGATAACGTTGTTGATGCAATCAAATGATCACGTGTTTGTGTTGCATGCAGTGTCAGGTGTGTTTTGCACTTTTAAAGAGAAGTCATACAGGCCAGGTGATAGCTGGCATCCCTATTTGGAGCCCTTTGGATTCATGTTCTGCATGCGCTGTACGTGCACAGAAGTATGTATACAACTTTCAAGCCTAATTTACTATTAATTAATACTATTAATTTTATTAATTTAAGTTTTAATATGCCATAGCTTTTTAGCTGATCATTCATGTATTTCCCATTACTTTTAATGTTGCAATTGTGTGCATGCACTTGTCAGATGCACATACTATGTGTAATGTGACAGTCTTTCTGTCTACTCTCACGTGGGTGTATGTATAGTCTGGTCATGTGAAATGCAACAGCATCAAATGCCCTGTTCTGCGATGTGAAAATCCAGTGACTAACTCACAGCAGTGTTGTCCTCATTGTGCAGGTATTACAACACTTTTTTTAATGTGGGAGTTTAATTCATTTAATTTATATACATGATTCTGGTACTTTTTTATTTGAAACATCTGACTTATTATTGTTATTGTCATAATCAGATGAGCACAGAACTCCTGCTGGTCTGCGGGCACCCATTAAAACCTGTAGGTATAATGGAAGCATTTATCAAACAGGGGAAACATTTGCCAACCATGAGCTCTTCCCATCCCGTCAGTTGAACCAGTGCGTCATGTGTACTTGCTCTGTAAGTATTTGTTTGCATTCATTGTTGTTACAATTACCATAGTACATCTCTCAGGAGTAGCAGACTGGCATCTGCAAACATGGGAATCTAACTTCACTTGAAAGATAGTAGTGAAAATGCAGAATTTCTGTAGGTCAAACAGTAGAGCGTAAGGCTCTTTTGGATAAGATTGTCTGCTTTTAAAATGAAATTTTAATAATGCTCAATAAACCATAATGCTTTCACCATAGTCATAACTGCAGATTCATTTCCTAGGTTCCACAAATAACTACATAGTTACAGTAAGACACACAGACACTTAAAACACCAACAAAGCAATTCAATGGTTGTAATTTTATGTACAATAAATGAAATCATAATTAATATTCTTTATTTACTTTTTATTCTTTTTCATTAAAGAATGGAAATATATTCTGTGCATTGAAAACCTGTCAGCCCATTACATGCTCCTCACCAGTACCAGTCCCGGATACCTGCTGCTTGGTGTGCAAAGGTAACAAATTTGCAATTTCTTTTTTCTAATTTAGAGAATTGTAGCCTATTTCAGTTATATTATAGGATGCAAAAAGGCTGCTGAAATTTATTTATTTTAGACGAAATTGGATGTTAGAGGCTGTATTCATATTTTAAGCACCTCATTGTGGTAAAAAAATAAATAAATGCCATTGTCTCCTTTGAATAAACAGAAAGTGCAATTGATATCAATTCTGCATCCTTTGAGGATGGAGGACAACAATTGAACAGAGGAGTTGTATGTATTTTCGTTTTCCAAGAGACTCTCTGTACTCCTTACATTCTGTTTTATTTTTTTATTCATTGTACTCTTTAATAGGATAATATTTAAACAAGTGGAGTTACAACATTTGATTTTATGTGTCTTGAAACACAAGAGGCATTCTGTGGATCAGTGTGGTGCAGAACAGATCAGGCTTCGCTCAGTCAGGGCCACGCCATCGACACTCCGGGGGTCTCCCAGAGGCCTCAACCTACAGACACTACACCTCAAAGGAGCTGCTGAAACTACTGTTAAAATTCTTCTGCAGCGCAAACATCAGAGAGGTAAACAATAGGGCTTTTCACACTTGAACTAGTTAAACCTGGGTCTTTCTACACCCTGGTTATACAGAAGACGGAAAATAGTTGTTAACCCTAGGTAAAAAGAATGGTGCAGGGATGATGTCAAAACTCAGAGGACTAGTTCGCTAGAGGTTCCCTCAAGATTTTTTTATGGGTTTTTACACTGTAAACCCAAATAAGTTGGCAAAACAAAGATAAGAAATTCAAAGTAAAAGAGAATACACATATGACCCGAAGGGATGCATATGGAGAACACTGGGGTGTCCAGCCACAGGTGGAATATTTCAACCCCAGGGGTGGCAAGGTGGCTTACCAAGGGAAAGACACATGCTCAGAGAGGCTTAGTGGAAAATAAACACGTGGGCGTCGTTCAGGGGAGGGACCATGCACACGGGAGGCACCTAGAAGACGCGCAGGCAATAGACACTGGCGCAGACGTCAGGAGTGCTGGAGGAACTCAGGGCTTTCGGGGAAGCTCACCTGAGGAAAATATTGCACGTATCCAGTCTGTAGATTGGAATGCCGAGCAAGCGAAGACAATTGAGCGGGTCCAGTACTAGCTGGTTGAGGACACTGGCTCCACTCGGAGATTGTAGAATCTGGCGAATGTGTTGGGTGTTGCCCAGCCGGCAACTCTGCAGATGTCTGATAGTGAGGCACTATGCGCTAGAGCCCAAGAGGACACCACACTCCGGGTGGAGTGGGCTGTCACACCAAGGGAGCACAGTCGACCTTGCTGCTGGTATGCCAAGCAAAGGCGTCCAATATCCAGTGAGATAGCCTTTGCTTGGAGAGAGCGTTTCCCTTCAGCTTCCCACCATAACAGACAAAGAGCTGGTCTGAGGTCCTGAAACACTGCGTTCTGTCTACATAGGCACAGAAAGCATGTACTGGACAGAGCAGTGCCAAGGCTTGGTCTGCCTCCCAAGAGGATGCCACACTCCAGGTGGAGTGGGCAGTCACACCAAGGGCAACCTTGCTGCTGGTATGCCAAGCAATGGCGTCCACTATCCAGTGAGATAGCCTTTGCTTGGAGAGAGCCTTTCTCTTCAGATTTCCACCATAACAGACAAAGAGCTGGTCAGAGGTCCAGAAACACTGGACAGAGCAGTGCCAAGGCTGGGTCTGCCTCCTCCAGGGGCAGAGCTTGCAGGTTCACCACCTGGTCTCGTAAGGGAGTGGTAGGGACCTTGGGCACATAGCCAAGCCGGGGTCTCAGGATCATGTGAGAGTGGGCCGGCCCGAATTCCAGACGCACTTCGTCAACGGAGAATGTGTGCAGGTCCCCTACCCTCTTGATGGAGGCCAATGCAACCAGGATTGCTGTCTTCATTGACAGGAACTTAAGCTCCACTGATTGCAAAGGCTCAAAAGGAGCACTCTCCTGGGCAGTTAGAACCACTGAGAGGTCCCAAGAGGAACCTGAAGATCTGGTCGTGCTTCCCCACAGACTTACCTTCGACTGGGTCATGGTGTGCGTCAAAAGCGGCAACATAGACTTTGAGGGCGAGGATGGAGAGTCCAGGTTTATCCAGTGGAAGTGGGTTGTCGAGGATTTGTGCCACACTCTACAACCTGGTTCCTCAGAGACGTCGGATTTTTACTGTTTGCAATAATAGGGTTTTGGATTTATAAGTAAAATAAAGTCTATTGTAAACACCTTAAATTACACACACCCATCTCGAAAGCGTGGATTTTTAAGCTGGTAATTTAATTTAATAAAAAACGACACACCTTATTTTATGGATAAATGAAAAAAAAAAAAAACAGTTGTAAAATCCCATAGGAAAATTTTAAGGGACCCACTGGTGAATTAGTGTTCCGGGTTTTGACGTCATGCGCTTTATTAACCGGGGTTAACAACCAATTCTGGGTATTTATAAGCTGCTGTTTCACACTCTACATTCCTAAGCCCTAGGTTAAACGTTCTTATATGCATATTTGCGATGTCAGTGTCTTTGATTGGACGAGCACATCATGCGATCTGTTTATATAAAGGCTTTAGCATTGAGCATCATCATATATTGCCGACTGTGCCATCAAGTTAATACTGAATAGACTTTTCGAACTAAAGTTAAGAAAAAAAATTCTTCACTCCAACTGTCTCATGTTTCTGTGATGCACAAAGCTTTTGAATATGAGGCATGCGATTGGCAGTCTGTTTTTAAGCATCTAGCTGTAACCGCATCACAATTTTACAGGTGTGGCACCGCAATGTGGGGTTAACACCACAAAAGCGATGCTATCTCAGCATATAACCCCGGGTAAAATGCAGTGCTGACCCCACTTCTACATTTCAAGTGTGAAACATTCCTTTATCCAGGGTTAAAAGCGAGGTTTAGAATGACATGTGAGGAATTGCTTATCAAAATCCAATAAAGTCATATCCTGTCAAAGTAATGTAGGGTTTCTGACTTTGTCTAAGCTTGTGTGTACAGTGGCAAGACCTATTCTCATGGTGACGTGTGGCACCCAGCGCTTGGGAAGGTCTTGGAGTGCATTCTGTGCACCTGCAGGGACGGCTTTCAAGAATGCAGGCGCATCACATGTCCCAACCAGTATCCATGCCAACATCCCATAAAGATAGAGGGGAAATGCTGTAAGATTTGTCCAGGTAGGCATGTCAGTGTTATCATATTTGCAATGATTTAACTTGAATGTTTTATCAGTGTGTGTGTGTGTGTGGTTTGTTTTTAATTTCATTTCCAGAGCTCAAAGCAGAGAGCAACAGGACTGAGTGTTATCTTGCTCAGGACAATAACAGTCTCCTGGTTTATAAAGTTGAACCCTCATCAGCTGCTCAGTCAGGAGATAAAGTACGGATGATTGCCATCGAGAGACAAGGAGCCACTGAAGTTGAGGTGCAAGTCTGGAAAACTGTCGAAGGTGATGTTGGTGATTTAAACAAGTTATAATATAATAATAATCATGAGGTTGTTACATTTGTTTGGTAATTCAAGACTATTATAGTGTTAAGCACATCATTTCTATCAGCACTGGAACAAACTATTGTTGGAGAGCAAAAATAGAGATGCTTTCACTTTTTTAGATTTCATCCAATTTTTTATTTTTTATTTTATACATATAAGTTAAGGTTGCTTATTTTAGCTCTATGGCACTAGAATTAGAGCCCGAGGAGGATCCTATTGAAATCGCTCCATTAATTATGTGTATTATTGTAGTGTTATTCCTTTAAAACTGTCTTCTAATCTTTGCAGGTGTTTTGCATCTGATGGAGACAGGTGATGTTCAGAAGAAAGACCTCATAGAGCATCCGGAAAATTACATCTTGCTGACCACATTAGATGAGGGTTTGTTTAATTTTTTGCATTTCACCAAATTAGTTCCGCATTAGTTTGCAAAATGTGACATTTAAATATTCAACTGTGTATTGTGATAGTTAAAATAGAGTTTGAATTGAACACACTGAACATTTTAGGTGAATTAAAGGTAAACTAATTCCTCTCCTAATATGTGTTTTAAACAGCCATGAAAAGAGACTAGGGACAACACAAAATATTTGAGCTAGGAGTATTTTCAGCTGCCAGGAAATATGATAAGGTAGAGGAGACCAGAGGAAATTAAACGTCTAAAATGTCGATTTTTGGTTTCCTTTTAACAAATTTTCCATCTAATGTTTTCAGTAAGTCACTCTTGATACATTTTCTGTGCATTGGCTCTTTCAGCTTAAATTCTGTGCCAGACACAGAGAGACAGGCCTGATTCACACTGTACACTAAAGCAATCTGTATTAAACTGTCCTTCTTCTGTTTGCATAGACACTTGGAGAAAGTTCAAAGAAGAAGAGGACAAGCAAAAGGACTTCAGTAAGATTAGGAGCTGTGAAGACGGGATCAAGGAAGTGGTGAAGTACTTAAACCCTGAACAGCTGGACAGTCTTTGCACTTCTTAGTCTCCTCCCCGCTCTAACACTGTGCCATCCCAGTCTGACACTCATTTTATTACAAGAAGAACACACTCGCACTCACACAATGTGCTTGTAGTACAAAACCAGATGCTGGCAGCAGGTAGTCTAAAGATCTCGTTTATTACTATGAGTCGGTTTATCGCAAGTCTTTATGAGTTTGACATCCCAGAATTCTTTCTCTTTTTTTTTTTCGAAAGCCTTGAGGTCAGACATTTTTCTTGCTTTGATAAAAATGCACATTTGGTAAGAAAAAAGTGGGTGAATATATGCTATTTGGGCTGAAATTATGAGGAAGAAAAGGTTTAAAGCAGCCCTCATCATTAATAAAGGAAATGATGTTAGTAATTTTAGCTGGCATCCACTGTATGTACATAAGAGGAAAAACGAAGGATGATATAGACAGCTTATTGGCCAGAATGCTTTTATAAAGTTGACGTAGGCCACATTCCCCACTGTACTTAGTTATACACTACTCATTTATGTAACATACATTATTTATTGTAAAGTCAAAGCATCCAACATCGTCATTATTTCAAAATATTTTTTTTTCTGCCTATCTTCTATGCAGAAAATGTTTTGCATTGTAATGTATGTAGCGCGTATATTGATCTGGTTATGTATAACTCGAATGCACTTAAAATTATGACAAATATATTGGGCTGATGACCCTGACAAAACAATATAAAATTACATTTTGGAGCTGAAAAATTTCTTTTTCTATTTGTTTTCAAAAATAATTATGGCCTAATGCAATAACTACATATAAAAGGGGATCATGGGGTTTTTTGGGTTAAAACAACCATGCACTAAAGCAGGTCATTAGTTCACATGATCATTGATACTGATGAGACTCTTTTCATAATGTTGTAAATGAGCAGCAGACATTATGGGATCTTTACTTTGAGCTGAAACGAACAATCCGTTGTGGCATAAATGGGTAGAAACCTGTTGCGGCCAGTCAACATGACAAGCTCCTGACATCGTTTGTTCTTCGGTCGTGCTAATCACAATGAACCGAGACGGGCCGCCGAACCCAGATTGGGGCAGTTCAGGGAGTTGTGACTAATATCCCTTCTCTCCAGATCCCAAAAGCCCACTTTCCTCTTTTGTCACAATGAGTCATTGTGCTGGCCGCACACAAAGTGCCAGACGGTGCTGCTCATCTCTCACTGAAGGCCTGACAAAATATTTTGAAACAGAAGCCCCTCAGTTGCAGACCTTAATAGTCACACAATGAAGCTGTGAATTATTTCCGCTGGCTGTTGGATCTAACAGTTTCTGGCAATTTGTTCTCTTTGAACGGCTTTGGAGGGAGGACAAAGGGAATTTTACTGTGCGCTTTTATTTCATTTTCTCTCTTTGTGTATGTTAGTTTAAGGAGATGGTCGGACGCCCCGTTTGATCAATACGCTGGCCGTCGTTTCACAAAAAGAGCCTTTTGTCACGTCGAGAACCTTTCAATTCATTATGTCAATGTTGATTTGATGGAGTCTGAAATGGCTTCAGCTCCCTGGGGTTCAACATTTGCAAATTTGATTTTAAACATAACCCTATTGGCACCTTCGCTTTTGGCGAATGGTTGTGAATTACCAATAAATAGCATTCAGCTATGCATGCTTACTTAGTCTTGGCTCTGGCAATCTGAACAGCTGGGGGCAGTCACTGGGTATAAATCAGGTGAATGGGTCAGTTCTCTGTGTGAGTTTTCCTGCTCAGCTTTGCTTCCCATTGTTGCACATAAAAGTGTAAATGGAGTTAAGTTTTATATCGCTGTGATGTTCTGCAGCTATTTGAAAGGGGGCTAGTGCTATTTGCTGTGTTACTCTTGAATTCGTCCTGTTGTAACACATTCTGAGTAAAGGCAGGTGAAAAAACTAAACAAATATGCAGTGGTGGCACTGTACACTTGAGTAAAAGTACAGATACCCTAATAAAATATTACTCCAGTAAAAGGACAAGTACTCCTTTTTAATTTGACCTATTTTAACTTAATTCTATTAAACGTAGAAAGTACTAATAGATAAACCATGTTTATATATTTTGCCCATTTATATATTCTATCTTGCAAAAAGCATATCTATGATATGACTCATTCGTAAATAACTTTTTATTTTATTACCAAAACATACACTATCAAAACATTAAAATTTAATATGCTAAAATGTTTAATTTAAGTTACAGAAAATGTATGACAAGTGAAAATATAAAAATATAGTATTTAAAAAAGCATTTACAAAATGCATGTAAATGTGTTGTGTAGTATAAACATCCAAAATGAAAACGGATCAGGGATGGTATGGAACATACATAGCTTGATTTTGGCGGACAAGATCTGCTACGCTGCTGCTGCTGAGCAAGTACAATCATTTGTTCAGCTCGGTCAAAATAACAAATAAAAGGAAAGGCTGATGCAAGAAAATGGTAGAATCTCCATAGGAGATCTTTCTGGGGAGGAGGAGGGATAACAGAAGCTTTTATAATCATGCAAAGTGCCAATCTAAGGCTAGTGTATAATATACAATATGGTTTACGTGGATTTTGAAGGACTTCTGATTGGCTGGTGCCACAATTAAGTGAACTATGCAGACTTGCTCTGACCGGATCATGGATCGGATCAGTCCATTTCGCAATTGTTCAGTGCGATTTGCGAAAATGATACAACAGGTTCATTAAAAGAATCAGCTTGTTAGCGAATCAGACATCGCTATTTCAGCTCAGAGAGGGTGGCGATCGAGCTAAATGTTTTTCTTTTTTATCAATTAGTGGAGTAAAGTAAAGTAAAAGTTTTCAGAAAGAAAAACACTAGATCAAGTAAATAAAAGAGAGATACTTGAAAAATTTACTTAAAGGGATACTCCACTTTTTTTGGAAATAGGCTCATTTTACAACTCCCCCAGAGTTAAACTGTTGAGTTTTACCGTTTTTGAATCCATTCAGACGATTTTCTAATATTTAGAAGAATATCAGTAACCAGACAGTTTCTGGTCTCATTGACTTCCATAGTGTATATTTTTTTCCTACTATGGAAGTCAATGAGATCAGAAACTGGTTACTGATATTCTTCTAAATATCAGAATATCGGCCAAATCAACTGTTTAACTCTGGGGGAGTGGTAAAATGAGCATATTTCCAAAAAAAGTGGAGTTCAGTAATGAAGTAAAAAATGTCCACCACTGCGAATATGTAATGTTTCTGCCTCTGAACTGCTGCTCTGCGTGGCACCTACAGATTCACAGTCTCTAAGCAACTGAAACAAGATTCAAAGAGAGCTAAACTGGGTTAAGGTAATTAACTCTGATGGATTGCTTAGCTTTTGTGGCTGATTAAGGTGTTCATGTAAACTGTGAATTAATGCGCCATCCAAATACTTCAGAAATCTGCCCTTTTTTTTGTTGTACACCCTCCTCCCTCTCTGCTTTCTTGAGTTGGTCCTGATCGTTTCAGCCAGTGATCTGAATCATGCACTGAGCGGCCTGTCATGAACAATCCAGTCATGGATCTGCTTTTTCTAATGCCTACTGATTAAAATGAAAGGAAACATTATACGATATTAAAAGCACAGTGTTGTTCCAAACCCGTATGATTTCTTTCTTCTGCAGATCAAGAAAAGAAAATATTTTGAAGAATGTCAATGCTGTGCTTTTCCATACAATAAAAGTGAATGGGGACCAGGGGCTCTCGAGCTTCAAAAAGTCACAACATAATAAAAGTGCGCTAAATTCCAAATCTTCTGTTATTTTTGTGTGAGGAACAGACTGAAATTTACTAAAAGATTTGTATGCCTTAATAGCTTGACTGTCGTGGTCATAATTTACTTTCATTGTATGCAAAAGAGCTGCTTGGATATCTCAGTAAATAATTCTTTTTCATGTTTCACAGAAGTCATTTGCGTTTCAAAAAGTACACAATGACAGAATTGTCATTTTTGGGTGAACTATCTCTTTGCGATTAACCCTTTAGTGAAACTTTAAGGGTATTAGATGCTTAAAGTTCAGCCAAAATTAAAGTATTTTGAATATAACTTAAATTCACTTCTAAAAGGCACTAAATTGAGTGAGAACAGACTGCATAGCCTTTGCCACGGAAAACAGTAATTAAGCCACATCAACCAATGATGGATGGGTGTCATATGGCCACTTAACTAATGTGACACAATGATGAATGACGAGGTGAAGTGTTTTAGAGATAATCAGGGCTTGGATTCATGCCAACCTTAGCACATGGGTATTGTTTCGATGCATTTAATGACATCTGCAAAGAGAGCACAGGTTCCATTTGGCAATCAGCAAAATCCAATTTTTCAGCTTGATTTTAGCACTTTTTGGAAAAAGTGATGCATGCTCTGCCTTTTCCAATCATGTTCTGCATATGTTCCTGTTTTGACGAAGAACAGTGGTCCTTCAGCCAAATGCATTTATATCATCCAGTCAGGCAAGCGTGTGTAAAAATCTGCTTTCAATTAATGAACAATGATTTATTCTTTGTATGAGAACAGTGAGGGGGATTAGAAAAATAAATCACTGCTAAGTTATTGCCGTTTGATGCGTTTTGTTGCCGTTGATCTACAAAGCAAGTCTCTCTTGTGCCCGCGAGGTCTGCCTGTACTTAAAAGGTATCTTCAGAGATGCAGATTCTCTGTATTAATTGTTTTACACAATAAACTTTTATGAGGGTCTGTAAAAAATTCAAAAGGAACTTAAAAAAATGACAAAACATCTTGAGTACAAGTTATTCAGAGGAATATGCTTAATGGATTATTGCAACCACAGTCAGGGTCAGTGCGAAAGGAAAGAGGGAGGGGTCACATGTGTAAATATGTAACTAATTAAGATTTAAATATTCGGTATTGAGCAGATAGCGTTCGTCAAATACCTGGGTTAGGATAGAAAAACATTAAACCCACAAAAGCACTGTAGAAAGCACAGATTTTGTCAGATGTTTATTTTTATATGAGCAGAAGACATCTCGAAAAATATTTAATGGCTTTGCAGAGTGCCCAAGGCCATTTTAAATTTAATAATGTGGGTTCACTTGATATATTTTGAAAATGTCTATTGATTTATTCCACCTGGGCTGAAAAATGCATTCTTCTGAGCAGCTATGCAAGAGGAATCTAATTTAAATCGTACAGTGGCCAAGAACGTTAAATCATATGCATGGACAGAACAAGATAGGGAGATGTGAATAACTGAAGTGTTAGACAAATGGATGTGGTAAATAATGACTTATTTTATGGAAAATAAACCCTTCTTATATTTTATAAAAGCATCACACCATATGACGGAGCCTTAAACGAACCCTTAAAGGGATACTTCACCCAAAAATAAAAATTCTGTCATTTACTTGTTCATGTTTGGAACATCTTGTTGATAGAATTCTTATTTTTGAGTGAACTATAACTGAAAATTCTATCATGATTTACTCACCCTTATGTTGGTCCAAACCTGTATGACTTTGGGGGACATAAAAGATAATATGCAAGGTTCTGTTGAAATACATTGTACAGACTAAAAACTCCTTAAAAATATTATCTATTTCCAGAAAAAAAATCATCTAAGTTTGAAATGACTTACAGTTGTTAACTTTAAAAAAAATAAAAAATTGCTGATAATTTACTCACCCCCATGTCATCCTAGTTGTCCATGTCTTTCTTTCTTCAGTCGAAAAGAAATTAAGGTTTTTGATGAAAACATTCCAGGATTTTCTCCATATAATGGACTTCAATGGGAACCAAACGCCTCAAGGTCCAAATGAGAGTTTCAGTGCAGCTTCAAATGGCTTTAAATGACACAAGACGATGAATAAGGGTCTTATCTAGCGAAACGACCAGTCATTTCGAGTCATGACTCGAAGGGTCCTAAATAAGACCTTTGAAGCTGCACTGAAACTCTCATTTGGACCTTGAAGTCCATTATATGGAGAAAATCCTGGAATGTTTTCATCAAAAAACTTAATTTCTTTTCGACTGAAGAAAGAAAGACGTGGATATCTTGGATGACAGGGGGGTGAGTAAATTATCAGCAAAAGTTTTTTTAAAAGTGAACTACTCCTTTAAGGGTGAGTAAATCATGACGGGTATCTAACAATGCAGCCTGTATTCTCACAGGCAATCAGGTTGGAAATTTGACTTTTGAATTTAATTCACTTTAATGGTATCAAATGTTCCATTATTGCTGTGTATTAGTGATTTAAATGGAAACCAAAAGGATCCAAACAGGTAGCTGAACAAGTGTACCTTTGAAGACTGAAGGTGAACCTGGAAACAGTTACCCGCACTCTCCTGAAGCGTTGGCGAGCCAAAAGCATTTGCGCTTTTTCCCCAACACCAGCAATCCAATCGAGCAAAGGATTTTCTCAGACAACGAGGCACCTAACGTTTTAAACGGCTGTTTGATAAGGTATCCAGAATGGCGCCTTACCCCACTCTACATCAATGAGGCCTGCACGGGGTGAGCTAAGGGAATGAGCAAACACCTAACTGCACAAAACAAACAAAACCAAATTGTTTTCCTTCATGGAATGCAGCTGGACTTTTTTTTACATATCAAATGATCACAATGACAAAATCTAAATATTTAACACAAAACGGACAGAAAATTCTAATTTTACTGGTCCTCATATTTGAAAGCGCAATTACAAATGTTTTACAACAATATAAAAAACACTGTTCTTGAGTTCGGTTGCACACCCCCACTCAGGTCTAAGTTTAGGAGCCTTTCCTCAGAGAAAAAAAAGAGTTTATGGGGAATGATGTCTTGGCACAAAACGCTCAATTTCATGTCTGTGGCACTGGATCAGAAGAGCTTGGACTGATTTTGATGTGCATTTCCAGAGGCATGGCATTCCACACAGTAAGTTTAGTTTTTAGATAAATGGAAATGTCCAAGATCAACACAACTATGGTGCCAGAAACTGATGTCATTTAGAAATATGAAGCCTGGAGGAGAAAACAACTCGACTCACAGGAACCAAACAAGACAGCAAGTGAAAACTTTTTCTTGACCATTGAACAGCTTTTTAATGGACTTAATAACTCATGAAATCTCTGGCTAAAGCACTCATTTCTTTTACGAGAATATTAATCCAAACAAAAAGAAAAATTATTTCAAACTTTTATTTATTATCCAGCAACATTCTAGAAAATGTCCAGTCAATGACCAAATAAACCTATGGAACATGAATTTGTAAAGAAATAGTCAAGTAATGGAGGTTGGCCAAATGATTTCGGTAAGGACATCCAGCATGTAGTTAAGTGATAGTCAGCACATCAATGTTGTTCATATCCACTCCATGTCAATGTCTATGAGGGGCCTTTGAGTGACAAGCGAGATTGTCTATGAGGGGCCTTTCAGTGACAAACATCATGAACTATGTGGTTCATAGGAAAGTCACAGCTAAAAATGAAGTGGTTTAAAGGAATATAGTTCACCCAAAAATGAAAATTGTCATTTCTTCACTCTTGTTATTTTATATACATATAGGAACAACATGAAGGTGAGTAGTTAACTACAATTTTCATTTACAGGTGAACTATTCCTTTAAAAGTCCATGAAAGAATGAGAAAAATAAATCATTTCTTCTGGAAAAATCCCATAATGGATGGCTGTTTTGTAGATTTGTTAGTGGCAGAGGTCTTCTTCTGACTCTTTTCTTTTTTCTCTTCCTCCTTTTTTCCAAATGACTGCTTGAGTGAACTTGAGTCCTTGGCTTGACTTTTGGGTTCAGGCTCCTCTTCACTCTCAGAGTAAGACTCACTCACATAACCCTTCTCGGTCACTAGGAAAACAGTTACATTTGATATTTAATGTCAGAGAGACACTGTCAAGAAGCACCCCCATGCCATGTTCTTCTTTACTCCTCTGCTCCTCTGGATCCCATTCCACCCGGCTCTTCAAAGATGTGTTTGCAACCATAGGCCCTGGTATACTATCTATTGTGAATAGCTCATTATCAAATGGTGTGGTTACACCCTGTCTAAAACAAACTGTTTCAAACAAACGGCCAATTTCAAAACTACCATTTATATCTAACATATTAGAGAGGGTTGTGCAACTCCAAATTACGTCAGTCTTAAGTGAGAACGATATCTTGGATTTTTTCCAATCTGGTTTTAGAGCTAGGCACAGTACAGAGACTGCTCTGGTAAAATTGCTAAATTACCTCTTAATAGCAACTGATTCTGGGCTGGCAGCTGTTTTAATTACACTGGATCTCAGTGCCGCATTTGACACTTGACCATTCGATTCTTTCAGACCGCTTGGAGTGTGAGGTTGGCATTCGTGGAAGAGCGCCAACATGGTTCCATTATTTACAGGACAGAACATTCTCTGTTAATTTTGCAAATGTTTCATCCTCTGCAGTCACTTAAAATATGGCGTCCCTCAAGGCTTTATTCTGAGTCCTACATTGTTTGCTCTGTACATGTGTACAAATGTTTGAGTCTCAATTAAAAACAGAATGTCTTACTGTTTTTAGTTAACTCTGAAGCACTTTGGGCAACAACATAAATAAGCAATAAGGTACGACAGGCTGTACTGTATCGTGAATAAGTATTATAAGTATTCTCCACTTCGCGACGTGCCTGACAACGCACTTCAGCCATTACTTATTCACGATACAGCACTTGCCTCGAGTAGCTTATTGCTTTTATAAAACGGTTACCACACAATAAAAATATAAAAGTAAAAATGTGCATCAGTGCAACTTTCATGAAGTAAAATCACTAAAAGACTTCCTTAGTTCCACTAGAGAAAAAAATAGTCCCTGACCGTGAACAGCAACAACGTTCGAATGTGTAATATGCATGAAAGCTTAAATAAAAAAAAAACATAGGAACCACAGTGTTGCACAGGTATAAATAGAACCGTTGGGTGAAGCGGTTATCATGAATAAAGCGCAGCTATTGGCCAATCAGAATTAAGGATTGGAACTAACCATTTTCACTCCTCGCAAGTATAACTTACATTTTACAATGCAGGGACTGTAACTAGAGATATGCTAGTTATAAATACAGTAATCATTACTTTATTTAGGCAGAAAAAGTTGATTGTGGTTTCCAAGCTCATTAATGTTAACGTCAGCGGTCTTACACTGACGATAGTGGCATTAGCTAGCTTTGTGGTTAGCTAGTCTATGATGAGCCATAATTTAGCAATAGATAACATCATACTGCAAATAGTAAAACATTCATTTACAAGATAACAGGCCAAGGAGAGATGATTGAAGCGTGTTTCGTCCGTTTTTATTTTATTTTTTAAATATCCATTTATCGGCCATTATAACTGCCGATACCGATATTTTGAAAAATGCCTAATATTGCCGATAATATCGGCCGGCCGATATATCGGTCTGGCTCTAATTTTAATTACATTTATTTATTTACTAATATATTTTCATGTTTGACCACGAACCATGCGCTGTCACTTATTTCAGCGCCTGCAGCAGCACAGCAGAAATATAGTAGACTGGGTGCAGGAATGACATCCGACATGTTTTTTTCTTGATTTTTGGGTTTCTACCTTAAACAATGGTTTCTACCAAGGATGGCATATTGGTGTGCAATACAACTGAGTCTGCACAGGATGTTTATTTTGAAATTGACAGTGATTTGACGGTGCGACTTGGACGTGATGTCCGTCGAAAAAGACTCGGCGCCTATCTATAGCAACGCGCCGCGGCTGGTTCACTCATCCATTGACTAGAGTGGGCGTGATCAGCTCCGGTAGCCGTGTCGCAGCCGTGGCGAAACAGGCGTACATTAACCCATACAATTTGTATATTCATTTTCTGAACATGTTTTTGCTAACTAATCAAATACTTGAACAGAAAATCTGTAAAACACAATCCGAAAGAGCTATATTTAAGTTCACAATACACATATACTTAATTTTTAATAAGCAGGAATAATTTTCGACATTAAACAAATACCCATTTTAATGTTTAGGATGTTCGCGTTTAAGACTCTTCAGGGAGACTTTAGATTTAAAACGGTGTCCCATTATGCAATGTTTTCTCAGTCAAATCATACAATTTCCTATTGATTCAATAGAACGCGTGAGCTCACTAGGGAATCACAATATGGCGGCGCGGTGGCTTCACCGTTTATGACATCATGAGCTATCCAGTCGTTCTATATAGATCAGTGGGTGGAACGGGAGCTTCATGCCCTGGATGTGCATCCCACAAATCTCCATCAACTACAAGATGCTATCCTATCAATATGGGCCAACATTTCTAAAGAATGCTTTCAGCACCTTGTTGAATCAATGCCACGTAGAATTAAGGCAGTTCTGAAGGCAAAAGGGGGTCAAACTTAGTATTAGTATGGTGTTCCTAATAATCCTTTATGTGAGTGTATATTCAAAACACATGCGAGATCAAGAGTGATCAATTCAATAAATACATTTAAAATAAAGAAATTATTAAAAAATAACGAAAGTTTAGCCAGAATCGTCAACTTTGTCTTTTTACCTGCAGAGACTGCTAAACTGGAGTGGCAGCCATTGGACACAATGCTCTCATTTTCTCTCAAAGAAATCCATACAGGTCAACCATTAATCAAGACAATGGATAATGTCAACTGAAATAAACTTACCAAAGGAACCCTCTTCATCAACAAACGTGTGAGACTTCAAAACACGCCTTCTTTTCCTCCTCTTCACCTCTGAGATCTCCTGAACATAAATAAATGGAAATATTACTTTATGTAAAATACAAGTGAGATGTTTTTGTTGTAAATTAATGTGGATTATCCAGTCACAAGGAAATAGCACACATTATGTTTTTTTCTTTATTGCAAAAAATACATTTTGTTCAATGACCAACTTCAATGGCCATCAATGAGTATGTTATCTATCAGCAGGAGCTTAATACCCATGCTAACCTTGACCCTCTTGTTTGAGAATGTTTTGGTCAACAAATACCAAAAAAAAAGTGTTGGTGATGCTTACTTGGTGTGAAACAGGCTCCTTCTTCACTTGTTTTTTGGGACTGGGAGCCTGTTTGGTTGGCACAGGTGGAGAATCTGGCACAACTGGAAGAGGAAAAGACAGATCAAATACACACACACACATATATATATATATATATATATTCACACACATACACAGACAGAGGAAAAAGAGAAAAAAATGAACGTGATGAATGTTATCAATTAGCTTTTTTTTTTGTCAGATAACAATTTTGATATTTTATTCAGCACTCTGCGCAGAGGGAGAGCCTATTTCTTTGTTTTTCTTCACTTTGGGTCACAGAACGCCTCATCTGGATTGATTCAAATCCACCAAGGATGACGTAAGCTTGTTTTTTTTTCCGCCTTCGTCTTGTTTTCCCCCTATCTCTTTCGTACCTTCATCATCACTGCTGTCTGGCTGGGGTTTCTTTATACGCCGTCTTTTTTTCAGCTGCTTCTCCATTTTCTCATCATCACTGTCCACAACCTCAGAACGCTTTGATCTACTTAGAGAAAACAAACATATTTTAGCTCACATTTTTGAGGACAAAGATAACACATGTCATATGATCCAGACTCTTTAAGGAAATTGATTAAACCTTTAAATTTTGCATTACTTGCTAAATAATGGCTGTTTACACTGTATATTTATTTTTTATATAGACTACTACAAGACACACATACACACATTCAGCTCTGGAAAAAAATCAAGAGACCACTGTAAAATTAGCAGTTTCTTTGGATTTACTATTTATATGTATGTGTTTGAGTAAAAATTAAAATGTTATTTTATTCTATAAACTACTGACAACTTTTTTTATTTATTTATTTATTTTTTTTTTACAAATTTTACGAAAAAACATTTCCATTAAGAGCATTTATATGCAGAAAATGACAACTGGTCAAAACAACAAAACAAAAAAAACAAAGATACCGAATATTCCAAAACAACACAATAAAGATGCTTTAGCTTCAGAAGTGTTGAGAAATCAATATTTGGTGGAATAACCCTAATTTCCAATCACAGCTTTCATGTGTCTTGGCATGCTCTCCATCAGTCGGTCACATTGCTTTTGGGTGACTTTATCCCACTCTTGGTGCAAAAATTTAAGCAGCTTGATTTTGTTCTTCCATCTTCCTCTTGACCACATTCCAGAGGTTTTCAATGGGCCTCAGAGGTCTGGAGATTGGGCTGGCCATGATAGGGTCTTGATCTGGTGGTCCTCTATCCACACACCTTGATTGGCCTGGCTGTGTGGATTGCAGAGAATGAGCAAAGGAGAGTGAAACGCCACTCAATATACCCTGGATGATGCGACGGCAGCCATATTGCGCCAGAACACACACCAGCTTACTGGTGCAGAGGAGACAGTGATAAAGCCAATCAGTATTGGGGGATTATTAGGAGGCCATGATGGACAGAGGCCAAGGGAAAAATTTGGCCACGATACTCTTTTCCGAAGGATATCCTGGGATTTTTAATGACCACAGAGAGTCAGGACCTCGGTTTAACGTCTCATCTGAAGGACGGTGCTCTTTGACAGTATAGTGTCCCCATCAGTATACTGGGGTGTAAGGACCCAAACAGACCACAGAGTGAGCGCCCCCTGCTGGCCTCACTAACACCTTTGGAAGTTTTTTCCAGGAATATAGAAACAAAAATGTCAACTTTACTCAAACCCAAACATATAAATAGTAAATCCAGAGACACTGCTAATTTTGCAGTGGTCTCTTAATTTTTTTTTCCAGTGCTGTGTCTGTATATTTTAGGGGAAAAAAACGTATAACGCTTACTTCCGAGTGTCTTTTGATTCAACTTTCAAAGCACTGGACTCCTTAGATTGTTCCTCTTTAACGGCATACTCCGATTTGGGAGACGGCTGTTTCACACTTGCAGTACTCGATGTTGCAGAGTGACCGTCGGTCTCCTCTTTGATGCTTTTGTTGTTTTTGTTGGGTTTTTCATCTACCTTTTCTAAATTTTACAGGAAAATGTATTGTTTATTGCTGTACATTATGCTTTTTTAGGTTTTATGATAGTTGAAGACAAAAAAAACCCACTCACTTTGGGCAGGCTTCCCAAAGAAGTTACTCATAGGGTTCGCTTTGGAGGCCGGTTTGGTTTTTGAGGTTTCAACCTACAACACATGAAACCATTATACATTTTTTACACACAATCTTGTGTTTTTAAACTTAAACTATAGAGTTACACACTTACCAGGGAAGAATCATCTTTCTGCTCTGTTTTCACTTCCTTGCTGGATTCTTGACTCTTAGAAGCATTTTTACTTGCAAACATTCCCATGATGCCTGCTGGCTGCTTAGCACTAGCTTTTGAGGTAGCAGAAGTGTTTTCATTTATGCGAGGTTTATCGATTTCCTTCTCCACTGGAGGGACCAAAGCCACCTCCTGAGCTCTCTGCAGTTCTACAGATGACATGGGGACTGCCGCAGCACAGCGTATAGCACTGTACCTGACGAAAAGAAATTTCGGACGTGTCAGTACTTTAGTGGAGGGATCGCTCATATGATGCATGCATACAGGTTATATGAGGATCACTCACTTGTTGCAGTTTTTTAGGTTCTCCTTAACAGCATCATAATCTGTACTGTAAAGTGGAGAACTATCCTTCAGCTCCGCTCTCTGCACACTGTAGACATGCACACTGAATGTCACATCCATCTTTGCTTTAACAGCTGTGAAAAAACAAAACCACAACAAAAAAAGATTCTCCTCAACTGAAAAATGTAAATAGAAAAATGACATGAAAACACGTAAGGCCTGAAATTGGGTTACCACTAACACAACATAATATTTCTTTTCGTTTTGTTCCCGATTATTTTTTTGTATTATAAAACTTAACACTTAACTTAATTTTCAAATAAAAATGTGAATAATATAAATATATATAACCACAAAAAACATTTTTATTAAGATTTTAATGTAATTTATTTGATATAAAATCACCCCCTCAAACAACTAAAATATATGTAAGCTACCATGAAAACCCAGATGTGATGTAGGAGACTGGGACATTTCTGAACCAAGAATTATTGAAATTATAAAATGCTATTTGTTGTAATTTATGATATAAATAAGATAATCTTACCTTCAAGCTTGTCCTCACGCACTACTGACACTTTATGGCACTAAAAGGAAAGGGAAATATTCAATGGTAGATCTTAAAATAATGTTCATTGATTTGAACCAATGATCAGATCTCAGTTCTTACCGTACTACCATTCTCAACTAACTTCCCAGATACAAGGTAGGTGGCATGAAGGGGAGTCCCTGAACTTTCCCTGCGTTTCTGGTCCAAGTAATGATACAACATTCTGCAACAAAGTGACATGAACACCAGTGACTCCAACAGATTAACAAGCAGAAAATGTGGCATGCATAGAAAGGACAGGACGTACTGTTTTGCTGTGTTCACGTGGACTCCAAGAGTTAAACTGAGCCATTTGTAAGTGACCTGCAAAAAAAAAAACAAAATATAAATGCTGACTGTAGCCGTACGCTTCTCATGCTACCTAAAGCAACATAACATATATAACCTGAGCCCGTCTAATATAACGTTAACGTCACGAGTTCCAATCATAAGTGTAATTCTTTCGGAAATCGAAAAAAAAAACCGTCAACAGAACCGAAGGTCATAAAATTAATCGGTCAGGGTATTTGTTTTGATTCCCAACTCTGACCAGTCAAGTAAACAAGCACTCAACCACATGTATTAATGTATGCAAATTGGTATCTCAACTGAAAGTACACATTTAAGTTACAAATAATGATAGCGATATCGTTGTGAAGAATGACTTACGATCTTATTTTGATCATTCACAAATTCATCAATATTGTCTAAATACAGGTCATCCATATCCGGAATGACTGGCTGCTGAATCAACGTCCAAGTTGTGATTGAAAAATCTGCCAAACGCGGGAACTGCTGCCGAACCGTATTTACTTCCGGTCATATGGGCAAGAGCGCATGCTACAGCGTCCAATAGCAGCCAGAGATACGTCTTCTTCTTCCTGTTGCTATTTTATGGCGGTTGGCATCGAACTTATTTGTGCATTTCCGCCACCTTCTGCTCCGGAGTGTGGAACAGAAACTAGGTTTACAACACACACACACACACACGTCCTGACCTCATCCCATTAATTCTGCACAATAATAATAATAATTATTATTACAATAATTACAACAGCAATAATTATACTTTTAACCCTTACCAATTTTTTATATCCTATTACAAACCCCTGTTTCTCTTAAGAAAGTCATAAGAATTCTAGTCTGAACCCTATCACTGCTCCATACTATAACCCTAATGTGATGTTCTGAACTCCCATCTTCCTCAGCTTATTCCTCATTATCTGTCTGTGCTCCATACCTATACATCTCAAAATAATATGCTGTCCACATACATAGGCCTAGTCTTTCCACCTTTGGTTTTAGTTCAAGTTGACAGTTGACAACCACAGATTTATTTATTAAAGGACACATTATTACAAACACATGTCTTATCTTCAGGGACTACTACAAAAAAACAATTAACCAGAAAGTTAAACAATATTTTATTAGTTTTATTATTCCATCAGTGCTGTTAGAAAACAGTTTATTAGGTTCCTCTTAACATGATGATTTGAAATCCTTGATCATCTGATGCTATTCGATGTCAACCAACCAGTGTAACATACACAGCCATTTAAAATATGTCAATCCTTAAGGCATCTCTGACACATCTCTTCATGTACATTATTACAAATTAAATATGTAGGTGTGTGATGAGTTAAATACAGAGCGTTGTCATAGGTAAGACTGGATTCAAATGAGGGACTTTTGAAGAACTTTTGCCACATCATTTTCAATTATTTAAGAAAATGTGATACACAGCATCTGAAAAGAAGAAAAAAAATACAAGTATTTTAAAATAGGTTATAACTGAAGTAAGACACTATAATAGTTAGAAGAAATGGTGTCAGTCATAAGGGTTCCCATAAAATGTGATAAACATAGCCTACTTAATCACTAGAAAAATCTAAATAATCCATTAAAAATGAAAGTATTATGCAGTCTTTGAAAGCATATCTTCCTATATAGAACATAATGTGTTCTTTCAAATTGAGTCAAGAACCCATAGGGTAAATAGAGAACCCATTGAGCTTTTTTTCTAAGAGTCTTGCTATAAATGTAACAGAACTTACAAGAATCCCTTGCCACAGCCTAAGGGTCCAAAGTAGAGCTCTGAAGGCAGACACACTCCTTGTCTGCAAACTCCACTGAGACTTGCACAGCTCCAGGGAAATGATGCAGCCTCGCTCTCTTTGCCTTAGACAGAAATGAAATATTTTAGCACTGTATCCATGAGTTTTGCTGTTACCGTTCAAGTTTTTCCCAGTGTAAACTGTAAAGTTTTAGGTTCACACAATCACATAATGCGAATAAACAAAACTTACAGTGCAATGCAAATACAGCAAGGACAAGCAAGACAAGTATACTCTGAGGTTTCATGTTGGTTTCTTCGGATGATGGCACTCCTGAGACGTTTGCTCAGTAATCTGGTCAGCCTGGGTCTTATTTTACAGAAGGAGGAGTAACTCATCTGAAACTACTCCAATCAGACTTTAAGTTAAAAATTGAATTATGGAGCAGAATGAATAGACGTACTGTTCTTAATCTTATTTGGTGTAATCAGAAAATACCAAAATGCAAGAGGCATTCACACCATCACGTGTTTGAGGCTGCAGCAAATTATCCACATAAAAAAAATCATCACCTGATCCGAAACACATGCTTATCCAGATGGCTTTAATTTTTATGTGTCTTCATTTTGAGGATCCTGACATTTGCTGAGACCCTCTGCGTTTGACTCTTGCATGCCAATATGTTTGGGGGTTTTTTGTGTTCACTTCTGTACACAACGCTAACTTTTATTCACACACATACACAGACAGAATTTTAGTTAGGAGGTGAAAAAGAAGAAAGAAAATAATGTGAAAGTTTGAAAAAGACAGATAGATGTTGTGTTTTTTTACTCCTATAGTTATGGCCCTTGTATTAGTTGCTTTTTTACATGACTCTAGACTCATTTCTACAATAAATAATATTTAATTTCCAATAATGTCCAGTAAATTCCTTAATTTATTTAATTTTAAATGTATAGGCTCATGTTGCAAAATTGAAAAAAGTTACTTATGGCAAACAATACAGCACAGTTGTCTTGTGTAAATTTAGAGGGAGAAAATTCAGAAAAGTGTAACAAAATTAAACTAAAGTGAAATAATGTAAACTAGAATTACATTTATATATATATATATATATATATATATATATATATATATATATATAGAGAGAGAGAGAGAGAGAGAGAGAGAGAGAGATAGAGAGAGAGAGAGAGAGAGAGAGAGAGAGAGAGAGAGAGAGAGAGACTTTAGATGCAAAAGCCTCTAAGTACAGCATTTTTCAGATTCAGTTTAATCTGTGATGGGTGTTAGCAAAATAATACAATACTGGAACAACTAGAATGATATTCAAACCTTTGGATTTTCGCTTGCAAGTATTCTTTCAAAATCAAATACAGGTTTTTAGCCAGAAGATCGAACCAAAGTAGAATGAAGAATGGAGTAATGTAGGTGAAAATTCAGCTTTGCTTTAAAATACATTTAAATCATAAATTACATAATTTTTGTTTTAAATTACATTTTTTAATTGTTTTTAAAAATGTATACTATTTCACAAACGTAATGGTTTTTATTGCATTTCTGCTTAAATAAACACTGCCTTGGTGAGCAAAGATACCTTCAAAATCATTGAACAATAGTAAAAGTTTTAGCGGTTAGGCCATACGTTATTGTTTTTTTTTTCCCCAAAATTTCCCTGACACAGTTTCCCAGTGTGTATTCAGTCATTTAGTTCACCTGGTGTCACCAATTATCTCATTAGATATCATTTAGTTCTGGTATAAGTACTCCCTGTTTTATTCAGTTCTTGGTCCTGTCTTGTCTGTAAAGTGGATGTATTCCTTTATACGCCATCTCCTGTGAATTACGGCATTAAAGGGATTCACTTTAAAATGATATCTTTTAACTTACCTCAAGGGCATCCAATATGTCTTTGTTTCTGCAGTGTATAGCTTCAATTTTGTCTGTCAGTCATATAATGCAGGTCTGTGGTCACCACCTCAAAGAGCATGCACAGAGAAGTCCAAATTAAACATGATTTAATGATGGTTTAATGACGGCTTCGGTCAAAACAATTACGTATGCTATAACTTGGACGTGGCTGTGGTTAGAGGTAAAAACAATATAAATACTGTTTGTTTCCCTGATCCATCCCTGATAGCCCCTGATACATCACTTCAGTTCGTGGTGGAGGTCGACGTGTCAGAGGTGGGGGTGGGTGCAGTACTTTCCCAATGTTCTTTATAAAATAAATATCACATTTGTAATCGTGCTAATATTTGGAGAAAACCATGGCACTCTTTGTGAGATATTGATTAATTATATTAAATGATAAATATATTACTACACTCCAGACCCGCCACTGCTCCACAGACCAGTCTTACCATTGTTCCAAGGTCCATGGTGTTGCCCACTGCTCCACAGTTCAGGTCCACCGCCATGCCTTGATCCAGGGCCACTATACTGTATGTCATCAAGGTCCAGTAAAGTCTTTGTTTAGTCCACTTTGGATTGATCATTTCAATAAACTGCATGGTTTCAAGTTCATCTCACCTCTCTTGGGTGAACTTGACCTTTAACCCAAAAATTGGGCATTGTTCTTGTCCGTCATCATTTCCACCCCCACTCATTCAATATCTTGTTTCAGTCCAAAAAATTTTATTATAGCAAAATTCGTCAATTCGTCGTTGTTTGAACAGTGCATTACGGTTCAGATGAATGAAGTTAAGATAAATAAATATAATTTTCTCTGCAATGGGTCATGATCACACACACGGGAGAGAGAGAGATCCAAGTGCAGTTAAATTTATTGGGACAATCCGTACTCACAATCCATTCCAGGCAAAGGTTCAAAACACCAAAAGGGCAATCCAAAAACATAAACGCGAATGCGAAACAGCCAAAATCACGGCACAGAAGTGTGAGGACATTAAACAAGGACTCCGGGACAAACAATGAACTGACAAGGTATATATAAACGAGGTGACAAGAACTCAGTGACAGACAGGATCATCGGAAATGTAGTAAACCAAGTGTGAATGACAATATGGGGGAAGAGGACCTATAGCGGACACCAGGGAACATAAACCAACACTGTGACACAATGTTGCCAGAGGCAGTAACGACTTTTTTTAACGTCAGTCTTTGCTTTCACTATCAAACTCTAAATAATTTACAAATTTATAAAGGAAACCTTGCAAAAATATGCAATAATGGTCTCTTAAGAGTTTTCTGTAGATGTCTTTTTACATCTTAACATCATGTTAAAACGTAAAAAGTCATCTAAGGAAACTCTTAAGAGACCATTATGATTCAGGGTAGGCCTACTTGTTAGGAAAATCTCTTTTTAGACATATTTTTGGTCTTGAATCAAGAGACTATATCATAAACATATCACATTTCATTACTAGTAATATGCTTGTACAACATTAATTTGGTCACAGTTCATTTATAAAAACCAAAATGTCATGACAACTGTTGAAGCATTCAGAAAAGTACAGAAAATAATTATGTTTTACATCTTTTTGGTGCACGTGAAACATGTACTCTTGATGCAACTCTTTGGCGCACTGCTCTAATATTTAACCCATAGATTAGTGGGTTAAAAATAGGTGGGACTATGACTAATTCTAAAGCCAAAAAATAACGCAGACTCTCTGGAATATCATTTGAACCATATCTGCTATACATTATATCAAATAACACAGCAAAAGTGAAATTTATCAGTAATAAAATGTGTGGCAGACACGTTTGCCAGAATTTCCTTCTGTTTTCTAAAGATGCTTTACAT